GTTTAAACATGGCATGGAAAGGTGGGTAAAGTGAGTCAGAGTGAAGTACTAAAATAACACACCGGAAACTGGTTGAGCTTGTTCACAGCCCTAGATAATGTTTGTATAAACTAGCAGACAGAACAGTGTTTTGGTTTCAGATAGAGGAAGTGAAGGTTTCCTGTGGCTGTGAAAGAATATTGCTTAGACTTTCTGTTTTGCTTTGTTTATGTTATTGGCTGAATTTATAGAAAATGATACAATAACTGTTTCTTAGACTTTTCACCTTTATATGGGCAGTGTTTTCTTGTTCTTCTTTAACATCTTTTGGATCCTGGTCTTGATCCTCCTTTTGGTTCTTCTCCTCCGAAACTGAATGTTGATGAGCTGATGTGGCCGCATCTGGATAACAATTAACATTATGTGACATATTAACTAGATACAGTATATCTAACCATAGTAAAAGTCAGTTTTAGTCTTTTATGCAGGGCACAAAATTAACACTAGACACATTCTGGTAAAAGTGGCTGGTAGATCTATTTCACTCACCAGCCAAACAACCCGATGGTAATCTATTGTGTGACTGGTAAAACCATTTGGTTAGTAAATTACAAGAGCAGTTGTATTAGTTACTGAAAATGATCAAACTTTCTGCCCTTCACTGTTTGTGTGGCGCCTCGTAACGCTCTGTTCTAATGGCATTCCTTAATGACATTTCACTTTCATACATGTATTTACTATAGTAACGACCCAAAAATACCAACACACATAATAATAGATGCTGAATTAACAGAGTAATGAGTCAGTGTTTAATTCAGCATATATTTAATCCACCAGCCAGCACTAGAAATAGTGAGAAATTATAATTATTAAAACGGTCCGCCTTTGGTTCCCTCTTTTTCCACATAGAGAGTTGAGACGACCAAATCCGAATTGACAGGAAAACTACTATAGCTTCTTCTTCTGTAATGATGCATAACTCTAGAAGATATAGAAGATAAGGAATTAAAATGTCATATTTCTTGAAGGGAGTTAGGTGCAATATAGTCCCTGAAAGTAAAGAACACAATGAAAGACAAATATTTTTATATTCAATTGTGCAATAAACTTAGATTTATAGTGAAACAGCAGCTTTATAGGTCATGATTAAAATACATTACATTCTTGTCCCATTATGCCATTTTGACAATTTAATTAAAAGTAAATATATAATAATTCTTATGAGCACTGTTATGCTTATCTGAAAGAGATAAAATACAGTGTGCAGTTGTTGACAGGACATAAGCACTAGCTTTACACTGAAAAAAGTGTAACATGCAGTTGTTCATTCAAACTAATACTAAACTAGACTAACTGTCATTTAAAACAGGATAAAATTATTGATTTGATTGTGAAACTCATTCTTTTTGCATTTAGAGACATCAAGTTTGATTTATACTGAACGAAATATACGTCCAAAGGACCCAAAACAAAGTTTTTGATTTCTCTAATTTTTTCTTTTTTTTTTCTTCATGACCTGCAGGTAATATTTTTAGTTTGAGTCGACTGTGAATTGCGCATGCGCATTGCACACTGTACAGTCAGAGCACATGTTAAGTCCCGTAGCTCTCTCTCGGCATGCTGGCCAGACGCACCATTTGACATCGTGGATATCGTTTACCCCCTGAGTGGATTTCGTCCAAAAATAAACATAAGTAGCAAAGCAGTTGCTGATAATTAAAGTTTAGTGTTTTGTGTTGTCAAAATTGCAAAGAATAGCCCCATTTAAGTACTTAAATGGGGCTATAGCTGGCATGATTGTAGCTGGCAGTAGCTGGCTAGCTAGTTGGCTAACGTTATGACCATGAATAATAATAAGTTTATTTGTGTCGCGCTTTTACAAGTATCGGTAACGCAAGCTAGCCAAAAGCCATCACTAGTCCAACTGGGCAACATTCAGGGCTACACAGATATTGCACCTGGAGATTTGTTCATTGCAGTTTGTAAACAAAACATTCAGACTGGGCCCGTCCTCTCGGGCTCAACTGTGTAGCCTCCTGTAGACAGCAACAGTTGTCAGGACCGGAAAGGAAATACAGTCCGAGTGAAGCGCTGGAGACGTGGGCCGATAACAACGGGAGCATCTCGGTTCTGTATTATGTGGTCTTCAGAGAGCAGTAATTGTTTACTTTATTTTATTTTGTATGCTTTCAGAACCACAAGGCCACTCTCTTCAGTTCCCTGGCTGTAGCCTATATCTTCATCCAACCTGAACAGGTAACATATTGCATCTACACTACACATCACCTTTTTAACCATTTCACAGATCACCCTGAATATTAGACCCTCACTCATCTATACATTTTCATAGCAGCAAATGGACTACTGTATTTTTTTAGCTCTGTTGATTGAGCCAACACAGATCAGTGTATCACCTGTAAGGGAATTCACTATTTCTTCCTTTGTTTTCTCAGTTATCGGATGTGGAAATGCAAAGACTACAGCCTGTCATTTTCAGAACGATCTGAGCTACTAAAACAAAAAAAGGCCGATTGCCTAATGTTAATATGTTGCATATGGTTCATATGTTAAAGATTAATAAATACATTTAACGTAATCTGTTGGCCAAGTGTCTTTTTTATAGAGTTTATAAGGTGGGAAACACAAATTATTTTTTGAGTTAAGTCAAATAAAATGTGAAAAATATAGTTTGGATATATGTAAATGAATTAACTGGTGTCAATGCAAACATTAATTCATGTTAATTCAGTTGAAAGTGAATACATTAGGTTGGTTCAATTTCAATTTATTAGTTTGGTTAAATAACTAAAATGTTAAGAAAATAATTTGGATCAAGGCAAAGAATTAAGGTTGAGTCAAGTACATTATTATTGTTTACATCAACATAAAATAATCAGGTCATAAGAAGTTACTCAATTTAGATTCTGTGAAGTCAAATGTTTTAGATGTGATATCTGGACATCATTTTTTTTGTTTGAGCAAGGTTATACTTTTTTCAGTGTACTAGGGATAAAGTCTTGTTTTTTTGGTTTATGGTGTGAGGACCCCTCACACTCTGGTTGTTTGGTGTGTTTCTCCTTTTTTTGTGCAGGAGACAGAGTGGCAGGGGTGTGGCTGGCTAGCATTGCTAGGCTTTATAGTAGCCTATATTTTATATTTAGTTGAACCTGTTAGTTATGGCTCTTTCCTTCCAGTAAGCAGGTTCTCGCTTTTTTGTTTTTTGGGTTTAGTTAGATCTGTTGTTTACATTACCTTTTTCCGTACACCATACTTAGATATCCACACACTCACTATGCTACTGACAACACATTTCCACATTGTTATACTTGGTGTATAGTTTAATATTGGTTAAATACATTTATTTTGTTTTAAAAACTAAAAATTATCTGTGTGGTCTCCTTTGTTTTGTCTGAACTTATAGCCGGTTCTTTACAATGTTAGTACATGAAAAAGCTTTGACTGACTCAAGTCAGTGAAGATTAACAGTATCAGAAGTCTAACACTGATACGGTGTGATGGTTTCTAATAAATCAATAGATGGATGTGTGGGTGTCCACAAAAAAATCTGCAATTAACAGCAATCCCAATTTGTACAATTACAAACAATCTAAAATCAAATCAACATTAACAACAACTGGTAGTAAACTTACCTTGGACAAATAACTGGAAAGCACATTGTGGACAGAATCTATATGACTTTTCCACCTGGCTTCCACAGCCAGGACAAAACATGATTCACCTGTTTGGAAAATAACAGACACAGTGGTTTAATACCCTAGTCAGTATAATTTAATGGTTTATTCTTAACCTGGTCAGTAAAATAGATAAACTTGCTAAACAATAACCTACCTTGTTTGCTCTACATCCATGGTCGACGTTAGCTTGCTACTCAGGGTTGTGTATTGACTCGTTTTCATTTATAGCAAGAGGTGTGGCCTTTTGCATTTCCTGCCACGATTATTCAACAATTTCTCAGAATCAAAAGTGAAAGCTTGACATTGTTTGTTTTGTCTGACTAGGAAAGGTTTATTTTTTTTTTTATCTCATATGTTATAAAGAAATCAGCAATTTATTATATTTGAGAAGGTTTTACTGTGGAATGATAGTAATATTCTTTTGAGTGACTGATTACATTGGATTTAGATGGAATTCAATTTAAAAATATATCATCTTTTTACGGATTTTATCATTATTTAAATTATCATTTAGAAATCATACAGTACTTTACTGCTACTACTAGAAAATTATTAGTACTAGTAGTTTTCAAACAATGTTCAGTGACATGTTCTACAGCCTTGAGATACATACTCACTGGTGGCCATTGGGTGGCAATATTGATTCATCTAAAATACTTTATCTCCCCTAACCTTATTCCCTGTCAGAAAAACTACAGTGATGACATTTTATGACCATAAATTGGACATAAATAACAGAAAACTTCCATTAACTACAATATTAACCCGATCTGGGACATATATGACTGTGAGCTTTACTCCTATTGGATAACCATTGGATAATATTCTCTCCCCTTTCTCCCTCCAGTCACATCCTCCAGGCTGTCAGAAAGCTGAATCCCCCTCCAGAAAGTGCTGAATGTTTTATGTTATGTGTCTACATATTGCAATATTTAGCTTCATAAAGCCATAAACCACAGGTCAACAGATATCAGATTGGATATAACCGCAATGCACCTTGGGAATCGTATTTCTGACTCGATTTCGGGAAATGCAGGATCAGAACCCAGGTAAGTAAATTATGCTAAACTCTACTGGTATGTCGAGAAACAGATTGATATATGAAGTATTTTTATTTCACATTTTCATGTGAAAGCCACTTGCTTGGTCAGATAATGAAAGTATATTAACAATGTGGTTTAACCGAAGCCTTACCCAACGATAGATTCAGGCCTGTTAAACGCAGGTTTGATTGCAACATTCAGTTACATCTCCTGCAAAATGAAGTCTCCCCAAGGAATAATATTAAGATGTAGATGTGGATGTACAAATGAAACAATTTCCAAATGTAATAATCACCGCTTTAATAAAAACAAACATATGAACATTATACTGCTTGCAGGTGAACCTGGTAAAACACATTATTATTTGACTTGTCTGACATTCTAAAAGTTTTATTAAAAATAAGATTTAAAATGTTTAAAAAAGGATTTTAGATTTTATGAAACTAGAAAACTTCAGTGAAGAGTTCACACATATATCCAGGCTGTTAAACATCCTTGTGGTCACACACTATGACCATGATTGTCTAGACTCTTAAACCTTAAACATGTTGAGACTGAACAAAAAAACCAAACATAAATCAGATAAATCAAAGACATCAAACAATATCCAATCTCTTCCACACAATCTTCTCAGTTATGTGTCTGATAATTCTAACATGATTTCTTTTAAAGATTTCTTTTAAGATTAAAAAATAATGTGTAATAAAAGTAAAAAGTTAAATGACCACCCTGCAGATTCGTTACCTTGACTATAACATTTTGGTGGTCAAACAATAAAATAAACTTTATCCAAAAGATGTAAAAAATAATCCTGAAACTGATAATAAAAACATTTATGTTTATCAAAGGCATACAATATTTTCTTCTTATAACCTAAAACATGTCGAGACTGAACAAAAAACCAAACATAAATCAGATAAATCAAAGACATCAAACAATATCCAATCTCTTCCACACAAACCTTCTCAGCTATGTGTCTGATAATTCTACCATAATTTCTTTTAATGATTTCTTATAAAGATTTATTTTAAGATAAAATATTTTTGTAATAAAAAAGTAAAACATAAATGTATAATAAAAATAAAAAGTTAATCCCACCACACGATTCATTATCTTAACTATAAAACTTCACACTTCCTGCTTATGGAGTCTTAAAAATAAGACTTAGAAGGTTTAAAAAGGATTTTAGATTTTCTGAAACTAGAAAACTTCAGTGAAGAGTTCACACACACACACACATATCCAGGCGGTTAAACATCCTTGTGGTCACACACTATGACCATGATTGTCTCTAGACTCTAAAACCTAAAACATGTCGAGACTGAAGAAAGAAAACAAAACATAAATCAGATAAATCAAAGACATCAAACAATATCCAATCTCTTCCACACAAACCTTTTCAGCTATGTGTCTGATAATTCTACCATGGTTTCTTTTAAAGATTTCTTTTAAGATAAAAGTAATAAAAGTAAAACGTTAATTGCACCACCCTGCAGATTCATTATCTTGACTATAAAATGGTGGTCAAACAATGAAATAAACTTTATCCAAAAGATGTTAAAAATAATCCTGAAACAAATAATATAAAACACGTCTATGTTTGTGAAAGGCATACAATATTGTCCTCTTCAAATGAGGTTTAAACAGTACTTTTTGTTTTAATTATTTCAACTATATTGATAAACTGTAGTAAATGATCAGCTGGCTCATGTTAAAACTAAATAAACTGTATATATTCAAAGCTTTCTTCATTCAGGTTTAATCATTCTTGGTATGCTTCATTGGTTTTAAAGAGCCTTGAGTTGTATCCTTCATACAAAATTCAATAACAGAAAAATATAAAAAATAGGAAAATGTTGGGCCCCCTGGTAGCTCACTGTGTAGAGCGTATACCAAATATGGGCCCTTTGCTCTATGTCATCCTCTCATCTTCACTGTCACGATCCAAAAAAAGCAAAAAGGTACAAAAGGTTAAATCAAATTCTCTAAACTCTTCCAATTCATCCCTCCATCATCCATTCCTGTTTGGCTGTGATGGCGTATTTCCAGGTCTCCACAATCTTGGAGAGCTGCAGACCTTCAGGAAACTTGTCTTCCACGTAAAGAGGCACCTCCACTTCTTTACGGTCCATGTAGGCAGCCACAGTCTCTTTCACACTGAGAAGAGGGAAAAAATATGAATCTTAACACATTACTTTCTCAGTTCCATTCAAAGAAAGTCCGGAGGTCCACGTTTACATATTTATTTATTTTTACATCAATATTTATGAATTTATGAAAAATATAACTCTCTAAATAGCGACGGACAGACAGATGGACAGACAACCTGAAAACATAAGTTGCTGTTGACTTGTTTCTAAAATTCAGTGAAGTGAATGAAATATTAAAACCAAAGACTCGATCATTTGTATTTGTGCATCATTCTATGAAGTGAGATATTTTAGATTTACTTTATATAAAGTAGAATTAGACGAATACATTTGGGATCTACACTGAAATAATGAACATTGTTCAGCTAGACAGCAGGAGTTTGTACTGTACTTAGGGGGTTAATTCACATTTCAGAGGATGCATTGGGGCTATGGGAGTAACAATTGCGGGAAAAATTGTGAAGATGTTTAAGAGGTTTACCCCCAGGATGGGTTGAAGTCCTCAGTGGCCCGCAGGCGGCCCAGATTCAACAGGAGGAACTCGTGCATCTCAAGCAGCCATTGGTCCACGTTTCCCCTGGACATGAACCCCTTCAGCTCAATCTTGTCTTCCTCTCTCAGCGGCATCTGATACTCAGCTGGATACTCCGAAAAGGGCTCCTTTTTATGGAAACATGGAATTATGGAAGTATTGGAGGTAATGGAGGTATTGTACATGTGTTAAATTATAATATAAGTGTATATTCAGAGTAACATTTTGTGATTGAAGAATACACTGAAGTGACAAACAAATAAAACTGAATGACTGAAAACATTGCTCCATATTTTTGATGGGACATAATATGACACGGTGCTCAGGTGTTTAAGTGATTTTCCATCCAGCCTAAAAATGCTGCAAAAGAAACTCTTACCCTCTTGAGATGCAGCATTTTTTCAGATTTGAGGGAGGAGAGGAGTTGCCAAAGAGAAACACAGTGTCTGAGTCTGCATCTGCTCAGAGCCTGAAGAAACAACACAGCAGAGTAAAGACTCTGTTCCATACAGTCTGAAAGAATACAAGGATTTTCTAAACCAGGTTCTGGTCATCTGGTTCAATTACATTAGAGAGAAGACAGATATCTTTATGGCGGATATCTCCAAAATAACCTAGATGGATAAACAGCACAACAGCTACGAGTAAAAATATGTATGATCTATCTATTTGATTTTGGGGTGGAAATGTGTAATGTTCATACTTTATGGGTACCTGACGATTGTTTTAAGACAGACTTGCTAGTTCACGAGTCATCCAAATTACTAAGGTTGCTGTGTTTTCAGCTTTGGATTACAAAACTACCTGTTTTCCGATGTCATTTATTATTTCCTTAAGTTAGTGTTGATAATGAACTCACTGTTAGATGACTAAGAGTCACATTTACAAGCTCAGAGTGTCTGACCTACAATAACTGTCCTTCAGTATCCAGCCTTGTTTAGGAAACCTGAACAGTCACTCCAGACAAAGAGGCCGCATATGCGTCGACATTCACCTGCGAAATGTGATGATCGATGTGGTCAACCATCTTCAGGTTGTCTTGGAGGTAACTGACCAGCGACATCACGGGATCACCACCAGTCACTGAGAGGAAACCGAGGAGCAGCTCCACAATCTTCAGAGCCTCACAAACGTCACTGTAAGAGTCCAGCTCTCTGGACAAGGCGTTACGGATCAGAGAGGACAAAGCATCCTGGGGGAACAACAGTATGTAAGTATGAATGAAGCCATAAGCCATCTGTATTTATATGTAAATTATTGTCAAATATTACAGTTAATTTACTGAATGTTCAATTATCTATGTATGAATATCTATTGCCTTTCAGATGAGAGACCTACCATTTAACAAAACGCTGTAAATATAACAAAGTCATTCTTAGAATTTAGGTGAGACTCAATGATTTTTACTATTTTATTTTCAACAAAGCAGCACTTTGTAAGAATATAATAATCTGTATTTGTTTAATATTTAGGTTAGGTTAGATTTAAGCATTAGGTAAAAAAATCTGTCAAAAAATCCCACCCAGAGCTAAACACTGTCTTTGGACTCTGCTGGGATAGGGTATTTGAGGAACCCTGGACGCTGGCTACGTGTGATCATAATCTTTTTTAGGTGTATTTTCTGGTGTTTTATAGAAAATAATATTTAGTTACAGCCCATGTAACTTTCCTTACATTCCTGTAATATATATTTGTATTTTTAACTATCTACATATGAGATGAAACACATTTAAGGAATGTAATTCTGTTTCCATTACAAAAATAATGTACAAGGTTCGTTCATTTACCTGACGCACTTTCCCTTTCACTGCTTTGAAAATGGTTTCATAGTCTCTCTCTTGTGTTTTGACCAGGGTTGGAATTCCCTAAAATAAAGCACAGTGAGTTTAGAGTAGCAGGCGTTCACAAAATATAACACAGCACATGCAATAATGACAAAAATAAGATGTAATGACTTTCTTGGTGAAAATGTCTTAATGTGTTCAATACCATCTAGGTTTGCTTAGTGAGTACAAACAAAAAGAAAAGCAATCATACAGTGATGTTTGAGGTGGCTGTTATGTTTTTATTGTATGTTTCTTCACAGCAATGAATTCAGACACTGGTGTTACAATTGACCTATTTAACAATATTATCAAAAGTAAATGCTGCTGTCATTTGTGGTTACCAAACCAGGCTGTGTGGACTCACTGTGCGGGTGATGAGGGGTTTTCCCTGCAGGAAGCGTGTGAGGATCTGCTGCTGGATCCTGGGCAGGTCATATTGTGATATTGTCTCATGGCCACGCTCCAAGCTGTACTGGCAGTTGGATAAAACTAGAGGAAGCAGGTCTTTCTCCACCTCATAGTGGATCACATGCTGCTCCGTTAGCTCTGCCACACTCACTTTGTAACTGCTGCAGACATCACAATGCAAATATGAGCTTTTTATTACGCTCCTTTTATTATACCATTTGTTTTATTCTTTTCCGAAAGACTTGAAATTATGAACTTATCCTTTACAGTACAGTGACAAAGCAGCATTGTTAATATTGCATTTTGCACCATTAGAAAATTCTCTTATGCTCTTAGCTGGAGAACAAACTTGTTTTTTGTAGCTCTGTGTATGTTTTGTACCTGCTGTCCTCTCCGGTGTGGCTATCCACAGCATTCACCAGCTCATTGTGTAACGCAACCAGGTAGCTGACCAGCCCTGTGGCACACAGGCCTGGACCTTGCCGCCGAGGCAGGAGGTACTGCAAGTCACTGTTCAGGTCCAAATCCTCGCTGCAAAATTCATCTGGGATCTTTAGCTCATCTGTTGGTTGGAGAGGGCATAAACGATTCCTTATTTTCAATACAACAATAAGTATGTACTCTCTGCTTAAGTGTTTCCTGGACGTGTGAAACAATGTCAAAATTGCATTGCTGTGGTTACAAATGCATTCAATGTAAATTAAAACCAACTGTATATCACAATATTAACACAACAGAGTTGATCCAATGAGCTCTTGTAGCACAGAGAGAAAAACAGAAATAGAGTGGACAAGTAAAAATGCACTCATTATGACTGCCATGCTTCCATCAGTAAAGAAAAAAAGGGATAATTTAGGTATTTTGAAGTGGGGTTGTTTGAGGTACTTATCCATAGTTGGTAGATGGCGGTCAGCTGTAGGTGTATATATTGCATACACTTAAACTAATATTGATTTTTTTGAGGTGGGTATGTCTTTCTACAGCCCCAGTGCATTGCTTTGCTTCACTCCTGTCTGCTTCTTCAAACTGGGGTGGTGCTAACCTCTTTACTGCACGAAGGGTAAGTATCTCATACAACCACACTTCAAAATACACAAAATATCCCCTTAAAAGAGGAAGATAAGTGCTTTACTTACGGCTAGCTACAGACTCTTTCAGTAGATTCCATGTTTTCAGGAAGATGTCAATGTGTTTGTCATACCATGTCTTCATTTCTGAAACAAGAAAAAGAAAGTTTTTTTGTTCTGTTCTGTCCCATAAGCCATGCCTCCCAATCTATTTAGAGTCAGTCCATTAGATTTTTGTAAATTCAACAATTTTTGAACAAACAAGGCTTAGGTCTATTCATTGCTCAGAGACATCACAGCTGTACCTCTTTGCCCTTCAATGAACTCTCTGATGGAGCCCACAATCTGGTCAGATGCGTTCTGGAACTTTCTCACCAAGCGTCTCTGCAGGTTTAAGATGTTTGGAAGGAACTTAATCTGCCGAAATTCTCTCTCCTGAAAAAGAAAAACACAAATTAAACATCTGAAAATCATGCCTCATGAGATAAAAAAGTCATTTTTAATTCAGCTGAAACTTTAAAGAGGTTTTTATATTCTAATTAGCATATAACATAAATTAACATAAATGTGTTCATTATTACTTCCCAAAATTGTTTTGAAAATGAAAGTATTACGAGTAAGACGGGTTAAAATGATATTTAATATTTATCCTGACAGTGGTGGAAGGTGATAAAATTAGAGTGTGTCCCTCCTCAGGAGCAAGAATGTTCTCATCAAATGCCATGGCAAGTTATTACTTATAGATTGGAAGATATATTGTAGGCATGGTTGACATTTGGTCTAAAGGTTACATAAAGGTTAAGGTTGCAAAAAAGAAAATCTCATCATCTGAATGTGCATAGTTACTAAATTGACTGAACAATTTTAACTATGAATTGCTGTTAACTCTAGATCAAAGGCCATGAGGTCAAAACGTATAACTGCTATAAATAGCTTTGTAAAGAATTATCTACAAAGAATGCCATAGCAATCTGTCCGGTAGTTATCTAGATTACTTGCTCCTCACCTTCTGCAGGAACCTCCAGAGAAGAGGCAGCTCCTCCTTTTGGTCATGCTGCTCCACAATGTGTGTGAGGGTGAGCACTGACAGCCTCTCTCTGCAGCTCCAAACTGCTGAGCTGTGGACCTGAGAGCCCAGAGCCAGAGACGTCAGGAAGGAGCAATCATCACCGAAGGTAGTCCTCATTATGAAGTTGGAAGAAACACGGGAATCAGTCCTGATGCTGCCCTTTGCATCTTGCAGGAGTTGATCAAGATCCTAGACACAAAATATTAGTAATTGTGGAAGGAAAGTTTACTGCAGCAGAAAAAATGCCAGCATATCATAGATAAAAAGTTAAATTAAATATGAAGAGAAGCTCTTTATTAAAATCCAACATAACAAATTAAATAATTATATTATTATAAAACTAGCTTATGATAAAAGTATTCTAGCCATATACATTTTATGTATGACTCAAAATACCCATTTTCTAATTTAATGAAAGCTTTGTCATGAGGGGAAGAAATTATGAGAAAAGGTTAAAGGTTTTACCCTCAGCCGAGGCGTCATAATATCTGCAGCCACAGTAGTCTCCCAGGTGTTTCTGGATACTTTGGTTGTTAGAGAAGGATCAATACCAGCTAGACAAAGACAAACAGAAGGTATTTTGTAAATTAATTTTTAGGTGACAGTATTTTTGTCAATCCTGGAAATACAGAACAAGCAAGAATGAAAAAGAAGCTCCATGATTTGTCATATGACTGACACAATGTGCAAATAGCACTACAGCTAGATAACAGTTTATAGAGCTTGTTGAAACAGATAGGAACATTAACAATTGTCCATCCTAAATGATCAACATCAAGCAGACTGTTTACCTCAAACTATAATGAATGCTATCTGTTTTTATTTATCATTTCAAGTTCTGATTAGTCACCAGTATTTGTCTCTTCACAGTGTCTCAATTAGTGTGGGTACGAATCATCTTTTTGAGATTTAGACATTAGATGACAATTATTTAACAGTGACGGACTCGCAGTGGGCTTACAGTGACTGGCCTGCACTAGCTCATGCAGGGATTTGATCACCAAGTGGACAGTTGTAACAGTGTCGTCAGCTCCTCGTCCCAGTGCCTGTGACAGCTGATCCAGATCCTTCATTATGTGTAGAGAAAGAAACAAACCAACATCTTCCACTGGTGGCTGGATGATGCGCCGGACAAACTAAAGGTACAAAGAGTGTGGGACAATGTTACAGTTGGGTTCAAAAGAACAGGAAAGAATAATTACTTCTTTATGTCTATTAAAAATATGCTAAAGATTTCCGACTACACACAAACTGCTGATGTAGATACTTGATATTTTATTTTGAGGTTAACTAACTTCATCTGCTCACCTGGGACTTCTCTGATGCTCCCAGTAACATGGCCAAATGTGTAACCAGCCTAACTAGAGTGAAGGGAGTCAGAGACATGTTTTTGGTGTCCAGGGCATCTAGATTGTTTCTCCGCTCAGGGTCTCCCAGGATGTGCCCAGGCCTTGTGTGATCCCTAAAATAATATATTACAGAATTACTCTGTCATGTGGTGGTACAACTACATTCAAAATGGCTCTAAAAAACACAAATTATGGTGTAATATGTTTTTATTTGATTAGAACAGTTTTCTTAATATCTAAGTCTGGCATACTCTTATGTGATGTTGGAAATGTTGAACATTGATAGTTCCCATAAATCACCACAATATGGGCAGCTGGCAATATACTAGATATTTTTCTACTTAAACACCATAACTATAAAAGTACTGCACTTATTGCATTTAGCCAATACTAAAACAATCATACAACTTTGCTTATTTTCCACCCACAAAATAATTACAATAGTTTTGACTGATCCATCCTTATATTATGTCCCACTCACAAAAATCCCATTTAAACGGGAAGAAGTTAGGGAGGAAACATACATACTTATAAAGACAATTTTCTGCATGACTGTAGCTTCACCATTAATGACACTCACTGCTGCAGTTGAATTGGTGTGAATCCAGGTAAGGCTGAATGATTGTCCCCTCCAACCTCCTGGCCACACTCCAGACATCGGCCTCGTTGCATAGGCAGGCCGCACTGCAGTGGAACATAGCAGATCAGCAAATTTCTTATCGACTGTATGTTTTTATGTCTGTAATTGCTTTGCATATAAATTAACTAGAACTGCATGGAAATATCTTACCTCATCAACAAAGCATGGATGATTATTTGGACACACTGTGAAAAACAAAGTAGGAATTAACAAAAGGTTTAAATATATACAATATAAAATCTACTAAAGGGATGGGATGAAGCAATTAATACTGATTACTGAGAAACTCAAGATGCAAATTATCCAATGAATGAAGCTGCAAGAAGCAATAATTTAAAACTGCAGTTTATATATGAAAGAACAGTACTTACTATACCAAGTGAGCCGCCCATAGTCTTGTTGTATGACTGCCTGGGCAACAGCTAGCATATCATCAGGCATTGTGGGTATGAATGCCCCCTGTTAGGTTAAATAAAATGAAAATGTAAAAGTTGGCATGAAAGTAATAATCAGCAATTATTGAAGATATGAGTAATTTAAAGACCTTTTCCTTTCAACTGCTAGATTTGGATTTTATAATCCAGTTTAGCAAGTGAGCAGTAATGGATTTACAGAATTATCCATATTTTGTCCGCCTTATAGCACAAAATACGTTTTATGTATCTGTAAGTTGCTGGTCAATATGAAAATGTAATTAGTTTGAAAAAAATAATTTTTTGGTCCTGAGCACTGTTTTGGGGGAAAAAAATCCCCATTCATTGAAGTCCCAATATTACTATACAATATAAGAATTACTGTTATGATTTGGCACTATACAAATAAAACTGAATTGAAAAGGCGCCTTCTATCATTTAAAACAGAGCAGCTCACACTAGGAGAGTTGAAATGGTCTACAGAAGCAGATATTATACATGTTTACCTGCATATTTTCAGGAAACAGACCAAGTTGCTTGAGTGGCATCACCAGGTTGTGAGTCCGAGTGAGCAGCACGGCTGCCAGATGGATGGTCAGCTCAATGACAGTGTTGGCTACAAGCGTGTTACCAGGAGACATGGCCAGAGCTCCCAACCTGTTGTGAACCAAGGCTGAAGCAAAATCCCTTACTTCACTTTGATGCAGATACCTTGAGCCCTGGATGAGATCTCCAAATGATTGGCATCGCTACAGGGAAGATATAAAATGGTATACAGTGAAAAAGATGTTCACACTAAAGTAATGGTAAACAGTCATTTATGATCTTATCTTGTAATGTAATGATTAATAGGCCATAGAGACTTTATGTAACTTATGTTAAATTATGTATATTTCCAAATGTGTGGCTCTGCTAGGTATGTTTTGTAAGTTGTTCAGAGATTTGTTAAATTACATTTATGTGATATCTCGACACTCTTTTTAAATCCTAATAATAGTATAGTCATAATAATTTAGATCAGTGCTTTTGTCATGAGTACTCCTCATTTGTGAAAACTGTTCTTGTGCTTATGACTTCATCAGGGATTATCATGGGTTATGACCTTTTTATGATTTTTGATTTAAAGAAAATCAGTGTATTTAATTGCATCTAATTTCAGACTGACATGGGATGGGGGGTTGTTGAACATGCAGAAAGCCAAATAGTTTTAAATGCTTTAAGCAGACGCAGACCCTTTCATAGTGGATTCATTTATCTTGTGTGTTGTTTTTGTTGCTGTGACATTTACAATTTGTTAATAAAATCCAAAATGAGATCAGTCATTGTTCATGTCTTGGCTTGCTCCTCATACCTCAGGGGTCGGATGAAGACTTGCATTTGCAGATTTGTACAGAGTTGTAACCTCTCTGAAAAGTGCCAGGAGGACGAACATTGTTCGATTCCTTGGTGGCACGGTGCATTTCTAAATCAATGGAAAACAAACAAAAAGTAAGTAGTGAGCAGATTTTATTCTACTGTTGAATGGGAAAACTGATTTCCACACAACAATAATGGACACAACTAAACCAAGACCTGCTGGTCTATTTTCATACAATAAAATAATTAATTGAACCCATGAATGTCTGGCATGGTAAACAAAGTAAAGTATATTTCATAATACACTACAACAGTATTTGTGAAATGATTACCTGTGATGATGTTGTAGAAAAAGGGCTCAAAGATCACAAAATCACTAGATTGGAACATTACTTGCAGCAGTTAAGAGTTTAGAGAGATAACTATAATTTTAATACCTCGCAGGCTTCTTCTATTTGGTCAACATCACCATCCACAACTGCCTTTGCAACTGCATCCCTGACCGCCTTGTATTCCTCTCCATACACAAGAAACTGGTCCATCTGGCCTCCATCTTCATTCTGTTCACACCACGAATGGAGTTAAAGGAGCAAAAACATTTCGTAATATATCCAAATACATGGATATCAAATGGATTTGAGATGCCGGTTCCCTGAGTCAGGAATATTTTAATAACGGGTAGAGCTAGGCGATATGGCCTAAAAATAAAATCTTTCACACCACACCCAATTTATAATGTGAATCAATTTTCTTTCTTAAAAACAAACAACAAAAGACACCATATCTTTGGAAATGTTGAATACCACTTCATCTGTCATGTCCTATCACTGTCTATCTCATATGGGACAGAGTGGGAAAATGATTTCACACCTTCCGTTTAGATGAGACTTGAGTGGATTGAGGATTGTTTTACAGAGCCTGTAGCAGCTGTATATCTCAGCATTATAACATTTGTAGTTTAAATCTTTATTTTTACATTGCAGTCATTTTTTGCACTGCCAGCACTAAAGGCCGGGATAAATCTGACTCCATGGTTTGTTTCTATGTTTTAGTAAATGAAGACCTGCACACTATCAAATGATGAGTGCTTCTGACGATTATAATACATCATGTAATAATGGTGACATTGCTTTATGATTCCTACATTTTTGGTACTGAATTTGATAATGAATGGCAGTGTACCTGCTGAAGGATCTCTATCGGGAACAGCCATGTAAACTCTTGTTGTTTCACCAGCGTCTGGACAAACTCAACACCCTGCCATTCGCTGAGCTTACGGATCAGGTAAACACGGTACCAATCATTCCCACTGTCCTCACAGAGCTTAATCACCGTGTTCAGGAAATCTTCTGCTCCATCTGGGACATTAGAGTCTGCAAAGCAGTGTAGTCAAATACACTCTTAATTGTTTTTCATTGATAATTAACACAAACTGTCAGCTGTAGTAATATAGAATACAATATTATCTCTCACCAGACAGACTGTCACTGATGAGCTTGGCAGCCACAGTTAGGGATAGACGCAATTTTGCGATGTGCTGCAGATGTTGAACAGATACTGTTGCTGGAACAGAAGTGACTTCAGCCAAAAAGAAGCGTATAAATTTTATCTCATTATTGAAGGATGCCTTAAACTCTTCAGCCTTGTCGCCTTCCTGAGGCATTTTCTCCCACATGGAGTCCTGTAGAGAAAAGATGTTAAGGGAGCATCAGTAAACTGTCACTTCAACTGACCTGCATCAGTAATCAGCAGAGACTGAAACAACAGTTTGTGGTACAGCTGCCATCCACAGTCTTCCAGAACTGGCCATCACACAAAAATATTTGGCCCACTAGTAAAGCAGAAGCAAAACCTTGTTTCAATCGTTTAAACAAATTTGACCTCACTTATTTTATTACCAGACAAATGGTTGACCTTACTGGCACTCAATCGCCCTGTAAAAAGTTCAAAGACTGAATAATAGTAAGTGGGATGTGGAATGTCCTGCTACAGAAATAATTTGGTTTCAGGAGCTCACACTTACAGACTCACAGCAACAAAGTTTTTATTGCTGCTTCATAAACTAAAAGGTTAGGAATTATTTTATTTGTGGTGAAATCTTCTTTCCATTTCTACAGTTAAATACATTAACAGTAGTAATTAATAGTACTAGTACTGTTATATTGTTGTTTTGAATATGCTTTACCTCCAAGCAGTTGATGTACAGGGCATAAAGCTGTGCTTTGTCCTCCTCATCCACAAATCTGCTGTCTTCCACTGATGACAAATGCTGCTGCAAATATTCCTTGACTTCATCAAAGCTGAAATACAAATAAGTTCATCATACCCATCATATGTACAAGAGCTTTGCAAGATGAAGCAGAGGAGCTTAAATGTATCCAGACATTTTCTCACAACCAAATCAGCAATGTTGCCAAAGACTTCTACACTGCTACTGAAATCATTTAAATTTAGATGTTTAACAGTCCCACATTAAGGTTACCTACCTGAACTTCAGCAGCAGCTTGAGGATCACAGATCGCACGACTGGATTTTTATCTGGTGACTCGTCAAAAGGCGACAGATCTTTGGTGTAAATCTGTTCATTTTCTGGTTAGACAAATAATTTGTAGTACATATTAGTAACAAAAAAGACTAATAATTAAAAAAATTTATTAAAAGAAGCAGATTGTACAGTATTTTAAGTATGTTTCATATAAACAGAAAAAGTGGCCAAACATTTGAAATGAGAAAAAGGGACAGACATAAAAAACATAAATAATTACTGTTTAAAAACCATCTAACATATATATACAAATTGTATGAAAGGTGCCCAATTATAGGAATATCTGTACATAATGGTCAAAGTTGTCATTTGCAGTATCAGGCAAATCCATATTCATTAGAAATGAAGGTAAAGAAAACAAAGAAGAAACAATGATATGGTACCTGTCTCAACCATCAGGTAGGACAACAGGTGTTTGATGACATCTTTGGCTGGTGGTGTGTTGTCCTTGAAGCACACCGTGGAGAGCAGATCAATGAAGAAGCCATTGCAACGCTGCCTGAATTCTGCATTTTTCTTGATAGAAGTCCTGCAGAGTCACAAAAATCAAATGCAAATAATATAAAAAATCTTAAGCAATGACTTTTTATCAGTGTTTTTTAGAATAATGATCTTTGCCAAATAATTTCCCCCAAATTACACTCTGTCAGAAGACTAAAACTACACACACACCCTAACCCTGACCTAGCATAGATTAGGTTGCTACTCCTCTTTCAAAAAAGAGTGTCTGATAAAGTATTAAAGTGCCCTTTCATGTTCAGATGGATGGGTGCTGGTGATAGGTGTACACACAATAGAAAATCACTGATTAAGTGCTGAGTGCACACGCATATATTTTTATATACGGCATGCATTCATTAAACAGATGGCCAAGAATCAAGTTTATGATAGCAAACAAAGTGTCACTTTTTTCTAGACCTTTAGATTTTTCTTAAATGGTATATTACATAAAAAAAAACCTCACCTGATATCTTCAGACACCTGTGGCTGAAAGTTATTTGGTAACTCCTGCCTGCAAATGGGACAGGAAGTCTGTCCTGCATCGAGGTTTGCCCTGATGCATGTGGAGCAGTAGATGTGATGACATGGCAACCCTACAGGGTCCTGTGGCTCCCTCATGCACACCGTACACTGGAGTCCGAACCTGAAAATGAAACCAATGCCAATCAGATTCCCTGAAGTGTAGCTAAATTCCATTCTTCACCATTTCATTAAAAAGAACAGAACTGTCAAAGGCCTTACCTGAAAGTCTGATCACTTGCCCTCTGCTTACAGTCCTTGAGGACTTTAATCACAGCTTGAAAAGCCTTCATTGATTTTACATCTGAGTTTCCCACCAGAACCTTAAGAGAAATAGGTCATAAATAAAACAATAGCCATGCTGAACTTATATATATATATATATGACACAGTCAGGTGGCAAAATGTGCCAGGAGTGTGTAGATCACGATACACCAAAATCTCAAGGTAGATGAGTTAAAAAAAAAAAAGTCCATCACTGGATGTAGGGCACATTGCTTGTCTGTTTGTAGAATATATTGTAGATTAAAAATTTACTCACCTTGCTTAAGGTTTTAATGTGATTCAGTACAAGTGTTCTGAGCTGATTGTCCTCATGGGGGAAACCCAGCAGCATGTGCTCCACAAACAATGACAGAATGTAGATGCGCTTCCAGCCATTACTATAGAATATATATAAATATCACAGTTAGTTTATTGTAGAAATATACGCAGATTCAACATACTCTAAGGTAGTATTTTACATCCGTGCATGATTTCCCCAGGAAGTTAGTTAGCAGAGAAAGTAAGCACACGTTTAAACAATCACTTCACTCATTAAGCCTGTGAAATGTCCACCATTGCTTGTTTTCCATGAAGCTTAATAAGAAATACAAATGCAATCATTTGTCTTTATATCAGGCCACTATATGGGCCATATGTGGGACATCCTGCTCGGCTGCTTGAGTCAGACAGCTAAGAAGTAGCACAAAACAACAGCTTCAGACTTAAATGATTGAAGCATTATTTTCATCTCATCTGAGGATCTAGGAAGAAAACTTGACTTGGTTCCTCCTGTAGTTGTTATTGGTTATTGTCTTATTTTTAAGAAAACCATTCACAATAAGGGACAATTTAAAGTTCCCAGGTCCCTGGTTGTAACCAATCTTTGACAGGAAACCTGAGCATCCAGACACAACCTATTCAGCCATACGTAATTATGTATTTACTCCATTCCTGTGCATCAGCATCTTACCTGACATCGTGGATTATTTCTTTGCATCGTCCTCCATATTGTCTGGTGTTATGTTGAGAACAAATCAACTCCAAAGAGGCTTGAAGCCTCTTGACCTGCTTCAGCCAGCGATGGCAGAGAGCATCGGTATCTAAATTAGGAGACCCCAGACTTTCAATGCATGCTGTGGCTGCGTGGACATCCAAAACCTACAGGACAGGACATAATTAGAGGGTTGTCAATATTGTTTTGTTTTTTACAGAAAGTGTTTACAGAAGCTGACCTCTCTGATTTGTGCTTAATTGATTAATCTGATCATTTATTTACTTATTGATTGTCTTATTTTACTTACACCAAATAAGACAATCACTGAATTTAAAACATCATAACACCTTGCATGATTGACTTTGTTCAGTTCAAATTGCTGATATTTAAAAATGTGTTTACCATATCTGGACAATTTCTAACATGCTGGTTTCTTCGCAAAGGAGAAACAACCTCAGGCTGAAGAGATATCATTCGTGAGAGGTTCTGAAGACGACTTTGGTAGAAATAGTAGGCGATGTGGATGTGAGAAACAGAAAGCTCAGTTTCATCTCGTTTTTGTCTGCGTATTTCCTCAACGCAGCTTCCCAGGGCCAGATACAAGAGCTGAGGAGAAAATGCACAGACAGATTTATAATTCAGTATTTGTTTTTAACCATAGCAATGAGGAACCAGATTATGGTACATTTGACTGGAGCATTTAAAACATATGAACTTACAAATAACCGAAGTGCAAGCATCACAAATAAAACATTTTCTGCAATGCAAACAAATGGTGGACCAGTGCTTAAATTCAATCAAAATCATAATGCACTTTGGTGCACTTTTTAAAAAAAACTTAATTTGACCCCTTAGAGAGCAGTGTATAATGCTTCACTTACAGTTAGCACTTCTTGTTCATTGCTGTTCATTTAATATTTTGTGGATTATAATACTTGTCACATTGGTCATTCTGTGTATATTTAAATATAGATGTACTGTGTAGGTTAGGATTAGGTAAGTATCGGAAAAATGCAAATCCCTGTTATGTATGTATGAATGTAACGCAGTATAAAAGAACTGAAATAGTTCCATCTCTGTCAACCTTATAATGCTATTTGTCAGAAGGATGTTTATTCAAATATATGCCAAATCTTTTGGCAGTGGGATATTAAAAGGGATTGTTGTCTTTGACTGCACTGGAATAGATTGTTGTAATATCAGAGCAATTCATGTACAGTACAATGTTTTGAGGAAGCAATAGTAGTATAGCAGCTAATGTACACAGTCATTAAGCACTTGATTTATGCCTACCTGTAATTCTTCATCTGATGCCATTTTCATGGTCATGGAAACAAAATCCTGCAGGTACCTTTCGTAGAATTCTTTCTTCATTTTTTTATTTACATTTTTAGCCATGTAACTGCCAAGAGGAGTGTTCAAGAACAACTCTTGGAAATGTACAGGTGAACAAACTGCAAAGAAATGTTGAGAAAGCCACTAATGTGTTAGGGTTCTACAAAAAGTCAGTTATAAAGGACAAAATCAAGGACAGAAGACATTTGGATACATTATTTAGTTACAGTATGATAATTACTTTCATGTCTGGATGTTTGCATCATGAGCCCATCCAGGAAGTCTTTGATCCACCAGCTGAAGGGCAGGAGGCAGTGCATTGTGTGGCCAAATGTGATGTGACTTTGAACCATGAAGACAGTGGAGCTGTAAGAGAGGCAGGATGCAAGTATTAGGAATGTGATTTTGTAAGACAGAGGAATCACAGGGCTCCAGGGTGCAAACATCGTACATGCTACTAAACATTTTCATTGGTTGCAAAATGACAGGTTAGTCAGATATTAACTTTTTATTTCTCCAATTCACTGCTTCGTCATTCACTCTCCAGGGCTGTGTTCGGTTTCAAATAAAGCCTAGGTTTTTAGCTATAATTTAAGAAAGATTTGGGCAATCACAGATTTCACACATGTTGACTTGGACAACGCAATGAGTGAACCAAGAACAAGTAAAGTACAAGCTTTCATTTTTCTATCTCTTCACCTCCCAGCCTGGGGGTGGTGCTGTTTAACCTGTTCCATTGTTTTCTCAGTGTGTTGACTTGTAGGTGGAAGCTGATTGGACAGGTGGTCTATGGGACCTACTTTAAAATGGCTTTGAGCTTTATAAATACCATGATCATACTCACTTGCTTCCCACCTTCACATAAGGGACATGGAGCATCTCTTTGCTTGAAAATATCTCAAGCCATAGGCTCCTGGTGTCATCGGACTCATTCAGCAGAAGGTCCAAATTGCAATCTCGGTCAATGACTGAGACCAAGTTGGCTAGAAGTGGAGTAACAACTGCTTGGATTTTCCTCCACAGTGTGTGTCTGTAAGAAATATTCACATGACTTGCATATGCATATTGGCAATGGAAGCTTGTGTAGCTGAAGTTTGCAGTGGTGCATTTTACATCAAAGCAAAATTGATTTAAATAAGTGATGAATAAATTACAAGATTGTAAGCAAATATAGCAAAGAAAAGGGTCATGTAAACAGCTATGGTAAGAGATGTCGAGGAGAGACCTACAGGAATGTCCCCCCCTCTTGAAGAGCATTGACATTAGATGCCTCCCTCAGAACCCAGCTTTTTGGATTGGGGATGCTGTCCTCATAATCCTCTAAAAGCGAATGGAGACGCTTCCTCACCATTTTTACAAACACACCTTAAAAAACAAAATGAATTTACTTTTTTCAGTAATATGTATTTTCACTGCACAGAGTAGATGTGTGTAATGATAGCCTGGTATCAAACGATGACCCTGAATGACTGATTTTCTAACCTTCTGTCTGACTTCCATCCAGAAGTGTGAGCAGGTTCTCAACTCTATGAGTGCTGAGTTCTCCACTGTCTGCTGCATCTCTGAGCATGCTCACTGCACTCTGCACACAGCTCCTCATCAGATCTGTTGTATCAAACAAATCTCCCAAAACCTGCAAAAATATAATAAAGATAAATTAACAACAGTAATCCAGCATCTGAAAAATAAAACAATTCCCTAAAAGTGAATCCCCCAGCACAGTTCAGAGGCTGTGAGTAACCGACTAGCGACTGACAAACTTCAGATTCTCCAGATAATCTCAGACAGTTATAGTTATTCAATTAATGAATAAATGGTATGCTTCCTCTATAATCTAAATCAGATGACCTATTATAATGGGATTAACTCTAAAAAAGTGTACTAACAAGCTAAAAAGGCAGTTCTCAGATCTTAGACATACCTTCTAATCATTTGTCACATTGGCATAACTACTTAACCATGAATCAGAGATTAGTACATTGTATTTTGCTTATGTGGCCTGACTGGTAATCAGGATCCTCTTGTTCTTCCAGGTTTATGAATATCGGTGGTAAATTAAACTTACAGTAGAGTCATCATTTTGTGGCACACTGGTGTGGTCTTCTGTCTCCATGGCTTGAAAAGTAAGAGAATTATAGGTTTACTTAAAAAACAAAGCATTCTTTAGAGAGAAAAAAAGATTTTTGATGAATTACCCTCAGGTGGATCTTCAAAAAGATCACTTATGCGTAGATTTTTCAAGGAATGAACATCAAACACAAACTCTTTTGATCTTCTGAGATCGTCAATGTGAACAGACCTCCAAGGACCTGGAAAAAAAGTCAGATTAATGAAGACACAAAATGTACGTTTGAACTGTTTGCTCTTTCAGTTTTGTTTTTTGTTGTTACTTGAAAAGGTTCTATATAAATTAATATTATTTCTTACTGTAATATGGTAATAAAGCATATTGTCCCTGACATGAAATAGATTTGTCATGTTCTGTGTGTGTGACTAACCGCCTTGAAACCCAACATAGGAGGTCCCCCCCTCGATTCGAGGAAGTTTCGTGACAAAGTACACAAATGCCTTTGGTTTTGTGTGTTTGTTGTCAGTAGTGTCCCACTTGTTTATTTCGTTGACGCATGAATACCTATATAAATCCAAGAGTGCAAGTAAGGAAAGAGGGAAAAATCAGAGTTTTTGCAGTAATGTTAGAGAAACATATAAAAGAAAGTAATTATGTAATAATCTTCCCACTCACTTGGCTGAGGAAAGAATATTCCTGCTGTGGGAGTCTTCAACATAGTCAGTTTGGATAATGAGCACTTTGTCTGCAGGTGTTGAGCCAAGAAATTCCCTAATATTCAGGACATAGGCGTGATTTACATTTGAACAGATGGAGTGATCAGAGTGACAGTCATATGCAGTAACATATATCTACTCAGTATAATGAAAAATATTATCAGTTTTATAATTGTCCTCAGGAAAAAACAACAACTAAGTAAGCATAAAGGTGTGAGAAAATGCCACTGTTTAGTTAGACTGACATTTGCACCATGCTCTTGTATATACTGTTTTTACACACCTGATTTTCTTGAGGAAAGAATACTCTGTGTCAAACTGCTGCAGTGATAGCAGCCTGACATCAAGTTTGGTTACATTCTGCAATTGATGAGTGTCTGCTGCAGTCAGTAGCCTGGAAAATGTTGTGACCTTCAAAAAAGCAAATGAACTGAAAATTACAAAATATTATCCAATTTACTTCTCATTTGTTATTATTACAGCAAAATGCCTCCCACATGTTACATGTTACAAGGTTATAGTATCAATCTGTGATTTGTAATGAATACTACAGCTTAGGTTAGCTTTGCCTATGACTGCAGTGGGTTATTTTCTGTACAGTAATTATTTATTCAATAACACTCTTTTGTATTTTAGTTTATATTTTCTTTCTCATGTATTAATTGAGGCACATTGTTTTTTGGGATTTCCCCTGTGATATTTGATAACACAGTAAAAAATACTTACCTCAGTGAAGAAGAAGTGGGACTGTTCCTTCTGTGTGTGATAGACAATGTAGTCTCCCAATGAGCTGTGCATCTCCTCTTTTACATATTCTTTCATTAAATGTTCCCTTTCTTCATCAGGAAGTCTGGATTTGTCCAAACGAACAACTGAGTCTGGAGTGGCACAATTGAGCAGAATGTCCTTGGCTTCATCCAGAATGGTTTGAGCATCTGTTTCAGCACTTTGATTCTCTGTTACTTGCAAGACCACGGAGGAGCATGTGTCAGAGTGGTAGCCAATGAAGACATCACTTGGAACATATTGCTTTGTCATGGAGTGTTGACTGCTTAAGGAAACAAAATTATCTACCCATTGCTGTAGTTGTCTGGCAATGTCCTTCCGCTCATTTCTAAGGACTGTGTTGATGTCAAGGTAGTGTTTTTCCAACCTGTTAATCAGCGGGATTGGAAACTGCTCATAGACCACCTCTTTCTCTTCAATTACTATAAGCCTGAAGTTTTTGTGAACTCTGCATTTCACACGATGTGTTCCTAATCCAAGATCAACATACTTTTGACCTCCTAGGGTCACATAGTATTGGTTGAGAGCATCATACAGACTTTCGTACAGATTCTGAAGGTTCAGCAGTACAACTGTCTGTCCAGTTTCCATGCAAACCTTGACCCGATTGATATTCCTACAAATCTGAGTGTATTCCTGATCCTTTGGGAAACTGGACCCAAAGATGATCTCTGGATGGATTTTGTGAGAGAAAAATATCTGTTGGAGAATCTGAAGAGCAGCATAGTTTTTTGTCAGGATCAAGAGGTAACGACTTTGGTCCACTTGGCAATCTGGAGAGATGCTTTGATTGACCAAATCATTGGTGGTGATGCTGGCATTTGCAAAGTCATCTCTGAGTTCTTTGCAGAATATGCCCATCACATCTACATCATCTTTTCCACTGAAGTTTCTCAGGACTGCACCAGTGATTTCATCTGCAGTAGGTCTCTCATTAGTGATTTTGGTAATTGAGAATACCATCTTTATCAGACTGTAGAAATCCCGCAGTCCAAAAAAACCCCTGCCTTCTTTGCATACGGTCATATATGCTTTTGCAAAAGGCTCAAAGAGGTGTCTGATCTTTTCAAGAACCTTTTCTTCGGACGAGCATATCCCTTTAGCACTTTTGATGAGCTCTTTCTCATTTGGATCTCCACGGGACACAAAAATTCCTCGATTCATCTTGGCAGGGTCTAGTGCCCAGTTGGAAATTCCAATGAACCCAACCCTTTTATGGGGTTGTGGCTCATCATCAACACAGCCCTCTTCCAGTAATGGGTGCAGTGTTTTCAGTGGCATTTTAGGGGAATCTTCAGCCAATCCAATTTCATCCAGAACAACTACTGAGATGTATTCATCTAAGTTTTTGCTTTCCTGAAAGCGGGCACACTGTTTGAATGTGTTGATGATTCCTTCAGGAGTGGAATGAGGGCTGCACTGAAAAGACACCAGATGTATCTGCTTCAGCTTCTTGTAGAGTTCGGAATGTGAGGCAGGGCCCTGCATTGCATCTGCAACTAGGGTTTTGGACAGTGATTTGGAGCTCCCTGGCTTCCCAACAATAAACAAAGGAATTCTTAGCTCAACACAAATCACCATCATAAAGAAATTTTCTTTCAGTGCCTCGTTTCTGGCTATTGTCTTACCCATGGGTACACCATTAAGTAGGAGGTCATGCATGAGTTGGATTTCCTGCAGTAATCTTTTCATGTTGTATTCATGAGGAAGCAACTGGCTGACAGTTCTCTGATATGACCCTTTGTCTTCCAAGCAGGACTGATAGCACACTCCAGTGGCCATCAAGAGTGACCAGATTACTTTGTCACTAGCAGGTTGAAACTTGTTTGCGTTTTTCTTCCTCTGATTTTGCTCCTGAAGGAACGTTTTCAGTTCCCTAGCAAACATGGGATGATTTTTGTGGAACCACACAAACACCTGCATGCAACGTTCAACATCCCTCAAACTGACAAAGCTGCATTCATCTTTCCTCTTCCTCATGAACTTTTGTGATTCTGATAAAACCTTTGTTATATTTGGAATATAATGCGCCTCAATCAAGTTGGCCTTCGCCTGTCTTTGCACTATTTGTTCAATGTACATTTTCTCTGTTGAGTCATTGAGCTGCCCAAAGTCCCAAACGAGAGGAATCATGCTGGGAGGTAACACATGAACACGATACACAAGCTGGCGAAGAGGGATTGAGCCAAGTCTGTCGTCAGTCTCCTCAGCCCTGACCCGGTAGCCCAATCCAGATGCTTCAAGCCTTTCAATCATCTTGTCTGTATGCTTCCTGTAAGGGTTGCACGCAGCAACAATCTGTAGTCCTGTTTGAGAGCCGAGTTGTTGTCCCTGCACAGAGTTGTCACAAACAATTTCCTTGATGCTGCTGATGGCTTCTGTGGTGTTTGCCTCATCAAAGAAAAGAACTGAATCAAATTCATGATTCTCTTTATTGGTCCTTGCAAGAGTTTCTGCTTCCTTCACTTTTTCATGTATCATTTCTGATGTAGTCCCTCCATGAACCTTGATCAGTTTCATGTTTTCTGCGGGTGCTCCGCACCTTCTCAATTCACACATGAACTTAATGAGCCTTGTCTTACCGCATCCTGTCTCACCCATTATGATGACCGGGATGCCACACCTAAACCTCATATGGATTGCCATCATTTTGAGAATATTATCAGTGGTCAGTTCATATGTTTCATCAGGATCTGTTGGCCACTTAATGCCAAGCACACTGCACAGATGCTCAATCTTGTCAGCTCGAGGAAGCTGATCAAAGTCCCTATTAAAAGGGACTCTCTGAAGTCTTAAGCCAGTGTACAGCTCCTGGGTCATGATGTTTCTCTTGATCACTTCCCTTGTCAAGGGATTTATGGCATCAACCCCATTCTGCTCATTGAGCTTCAGGTGAAACCCAATGAAAGTCATCGATATGTGGTCATCATTAAAAAAGATGTATGGATGTGGTTCAGATTCCCACCTTTTTCTAATGAGGAATGGAGCTAAGTCTCTTTCATTAAGCCCACTGATGTCAAATTGTTGCCTCCCTGGGCTCTGGTCAGTGATGCATAGTGATGGGGTTGCAAAGTCTTTGGACATCAAGATCATGAACTCAACCACAAAGTTTTTGAACCCACGAAGAGTGTCTCCAACAAACTCAAATTTGCAGAAGTCTGATTCCTCACAGTCTTTTAACTGAAGATTAAGAAACCAGACAAAGTTACGTAGCTCTGCCCATGATGGATCTATAATGCCACAGTAGATTAAGAGTATCTGAAGACACTTTGCATGAGTCCCTTCATTGCCCTGGTATGTGAAGTTGTCAAGATTGTCATTGTTGTAAAAACGTGTGAGGTACTGGTATGGTCTTTGATAAGCTTCACTCATGAAACATTCATCATCCATGAGGGGGTCGTCACTCTCCATATCAGCATTTTCCTCTCTCCTCATTTCCAAAGCCATAACCTCCTTTGGTGGACGACAATACACCTTAGGGAAAACGTCTGAGAATGCAAAGTTTTCCTTTCGTCCCTAAACATATACAAATATACATATATTCAAGTTTAGAATCAACTTTAGTTATTTGGAAAAATCTGTGTTTTCACATTTCACTGGACCAGAATGCAACAATAATATCAATAATTACATTAAAACAAAAGAATTGGGTTGTTTAATTTCATAAGATGAGCAATGCACAATTAGTAAATCTCAACTTACAGATCTGGAGGCATATCTGGGCTGATGATTTGTGGATTCCAGTAACTCAATAATGTATAAGTGTTTGTGGCTGCAGCGCCACATCCGTCCATCTGAATCCATCAGGTACCGCAAAAAGAATAGCTTGAATAGGAATTCATTCAAGCCTTTTTGCACCTGGGTAATATAATTTGCATTATTAAAAGAAATCTCATTGTTATTGGGTAAAGAACATTTTGACCATCTTAAGGATGAGAACCACATTATTCAAAAAAATCCAAGAACTTTCATTATAAACATTGCTTACCGAGGATGTGACATCAAAGTGAAACACCTTGAGATCTTTTTGCTTTGGTGTTTCGTACAAAGACTGGAGAACCTTTTGGTCATCCACCTCATGTTCATTTAATCGGATGCACTTCTTAAATGCAGTTCCTTGTTCAACACTTCCTTCCAGCTTTTCATACAATCTTTGGACATACAATGACTTGCCTAAAATGGAGAAATAGACATATAATTTTGCTGATTGAAATGATGGCCTCAATAAGAAGTTGAATATGCTACAGATGTTCTCTAGAAAGCAAGAATTTAGTTTCCAAAAGACACAAAAAAATCTATCAATTTAATTCTGCGCCTTGCGATTAATAATGAACTGATTTAAGTAGGGATGTCCCAGTCAAGTTTTTTTCAGACATATAATATTCACGAATCACAATCCGATACTTGTGCTTTCTTTAGATAATACAGTGCACATAGTTCACTTCAAGTGCATTAAAGTTGCTAAAATCAATCCAACGGTAGCCACGTGAGACCGAACACATTTGATAATGCTGACCTAGGTCCCCACAAAGAACTTGCACCGGGGCTTTTATTTATGGTTTTAAACTCCTCTGGTTAACCCTAACAGTTTCCTCCAATTAGTAATCTTCTGTGTATTCACAAACTAATACATTAACTGCTCCATCCGCACATGATATACCCTACCCTGGTCTTCAGTCATTGTTTTGACTATATTCATAATTTAAAAATCATGTATTTATAGTCTCTCATTACTGTAGTCATGCATTTAATTAAGAATTATTTGTTAGTAGTTAAATAAATCTTTCATTTATAAAGAACCCAATTATGTGGTTTGTGTATATGAAATATACTGTCATGAGTCAAGAACTCAATTATCTGGCTATCAGTTTTCCCTTTTAGAAGTGTGGTTCCCCGAGGTGAATTTATTGTGAGTTAAACTCAATTCATTATTGTGATTTCTCCTGATAGCTGTTGGTGTAAACCTGCTACTTCCTCTGACCAAAATTAAGGTCCTTTGCTTTAATCATTTTAATACGTTTTATGTTCCTTCCCTTACATAGCACTGGCACAGAGAGTACATTTTTGACTAAAAAACAACATTTACTCTCTAGGTAGGACTCACCCACTCCTGCCCGTCGGGATGCAACAATGCCAACAGAATGGCCACCTTTGAACACAGCATTCTTGTGATCTGAGGTGAGAGTGTAATGCCTGGACAAGTAGGTCTGCATGCTTTCCAATGGCTCTTGTGGCACAAAGTCTCTTTTGAACTGACTGAATGCAGTAGGAATGTAAGTGTGTTCTCTGTCAGAGCTGCAATAGATCACTAGCCTGTAATGATGTTTAAACTTGGAACACAGTTTCTGAAAACACTTCTCCATCGCACAGCTAACATCATATGTTAGTTGGTCTGCCCAGAGCATTGTGTACATCTTCTGGCCAATGTCCCCTGGTGTGAGACATCTCCTCAGGAAAAGCTCTACTTGCTCATAACATGTTGCAGGCGTACACAAAAGAACCTCATCATAACTTGGTAGTTGCTCGTGGTCAGTGGTCATGTACAAGCAGATACTTGAAGCCAGGACCTCATCGTGTGGGCAGATTATGAGATTAGGTTGGTTTGGGGAGAGGCCTTTTGGAAGACTTCTTCTGAGTGAATTGTCTTCTGTCTCTGAAAGTATTGGTTCTTCCCAATTATTTTCATTTTGGTTTTCTGTGACAGTCATCATTTTTAACAAACCCCCTAAACTCCTAATGTCCAAAAGGTCATGAAAAAATATTCCCTCATTCTTCATGTATCCATTCCACAACTCTTCCAGTTCTTTCAAACCAACAGTCTGATCTACCTTGTCTTCTGGATCATTGGCTGTTAAGTGACTCACATTAGCTGAAGACATATTGCTGTCACCCTGGTGGAGAAAGTAACTTTGAAAGTAAACATCTTCATTAGTCCTTTTGCCAGGTTCAAATTGATTGTGAAACCTTCTCCATGTGCTCCAGACATCTGTTTTTGTGCAGTTTGGTTTGATAAAAGAGAACATCATCAAAGCATTGTCCTCTATTTCTGCATTAACATCTGTTGGAGTAAGAACACTGCACAAGTAGAATATTTGTTCTGCTGTAAAGTAGTTTAAGTAGTAGTGATCAGATCTCTGTTGGTCCATGAAGTTCCTCCAGTCATCGAGAAACAACTCCATCTTCTGGGACAGTGCTGTCAGTTGTTCAACTAGACTTCCACATACTTGGATGTGATGCAGGGTCTTGCAAAAGTTGATTTCCATAATGATGCATGGGTCACTCTGAGTTTTGCAATAAATCTTAGCTTCCCAACACCTGAAGAGTGGGTTCCCTGCAGAATAAAGGTCTACAAATACTCTGGCAAGTCTTTGGACATTGTCAAACACCTGTATATGGAGACGATAAAGTGAAATGAATTGCAATGTAACAAAAAAACACACATTCATTCTTTTAAACATCCCATTGATCTTAAATCTCCTAAATCTATTATCACAAAATCAAAATATACAATTAATATACACCTCAGCAAAGCATTCGACTTCAGTCTGATTTTGTTCCCCTCTTCCAGACATGAGCATAAGCTTATTTTGCAACTCTTTCAGGTCCTCATAGGTGCATGTCATGTTTCTCTCATGTCCATCCTGAAGTTGCAGCATTAGGGAAGTCTCCAAAGCAAGCTATAGATAAATGAAAGGGAAACGTCAACATGAAATGGACGAAATGGATTTTATCCTGTTCTTTCAAATTTATGTATTCATTTCATGTAGTCCATTTAGTGTACCTTTTTCTGGTTTGGGGCCTTGATGATGTATATCCCTTTCTCGTTGATTGATGTTGCCAGGGACAGCGATGAAAATTCTACAGATCCATGGCTTACTTTTACAGTCTTTAACCATTCCAAATGCCGTGCTGTATCCCGCTGAAATCAGACATAAAAACAAATATAATTCTGTCTGTGAGGATGAATCTGCTTTTTATTGTTAAATGAACAATAGCCATGTATCTATTTTATGGATTTGGATAAAATTGACTTCTTTTCCAAAAATATGGTTTCAGCAATATGACAACTTTGTCTTTTTTGTTTGGTTGTGGTTAGGTTATTGTAGCAATTTAGTGAAAGTATGGTGGTAACATAAAAGGTGGAATCTCACCAGCTTTGTTGGTATATTTCTGTCATTATCAAGCGCTTTCCACAATTTTGACAATGACTCCTTGAAGGCCTCAAAATCAGAGTCCGGCTTCAATCCATACAACATGGATGAGTAACCAAGGACAGCATCATGGAAACAGGCCACTCGATCCACATCAAGGTCATTTTCTCCAGCAGAGATGGATGCGAGGTCAACAAAAACTTTCAGCTCATTGATATCTGCAATAAAAAATGTCCTTAAGCTGGTACAAATATTGTGTTCAACTCTTGTTAGCAAAAAATGGTATCTACTGTACAGTACCTTCAAGTTCTTTTTTAACCCACTGGACGAACTCTAGGCTGTGACTGAGTTTCTGAAGACATTCCCTGCGATCATTTGTAATGTCCATCAGAATCTGTTTGGCCTTTATGAAGGTATCATCTATGCAATTCAGTTTGTTTTTCTTAAAGTCTGCTTGATTCTGAAAAAAACACATTTACAGTATGAATTTGTTGAGTGTATGATTCATGATTCCTATTTAGCTCTATAAAAGCCTCTTTGTTATAAAGGTTTATTATTACAGTTAGTTAATTTTCTTCAAACTCTTATGTAAATGATACAAAGGTGGATCAATGTACAGTCAATTTAACATTTCAATCTGTATAATTTTCAAAATATTTCAGTATTTCATCTTATTATAAGACAATAAATGTGTACAGTTGATACTTACTGACAGCAATATACTCTATACAAAATATGTACAACTACATATTCTTACATCAAAGCATCCCTCACAAATTCTCCATAATGAATTAAGCCATGTAAATATGTCTGCTGTTAATGTCTTACAGGTATGGACCAGCATGTCTTTGAAAGACCTTTTTGAAGGTCAGGTTTACTTTTCCTTACTTTTCATTACTGGGAAACTTACCATTTGCAGCAGTTTCTCCAGTATGCGGAAGTCTCCTTCTGGACATATTGTGTTCCTGACATCCATGATGATTTTGGCAGATTCCATTGCGAGATGAAGTTCATGGTACTGTTGAATCTGCTGAATCCTTCCTCTGATCCATCTCCTGTTATCAGACGGATCTATTGTGCACATGATGTCTAACTCTTTCTGCAAGTCTTTGTGATTTCCTTTATAGTCTTCAAAGATGCTGTCTATTTCCTCCAGTAACAGTTCCCCACTCTTCAGACCATCATAAAGCCCTTTATACTTGCTGTAGCAGCTCTGGAATATTTTGCTGTAGACCAGATCGAGAGTGTAGATTTCCTCTGTGTTCCTTAGATGTTCAGTGTCATCTGTATCAGGTTGGTCTCTTGACAACTCTTCCACTTGGTTCATCCAGCACATTTTGAAGATTGCACTGTCTTTAACGGCATGCAGTTCTGAAGCCATTTGATGGGTGATATCACAAAGGTTGAAATAAGTGACCTGCGCCACTGCCTGAGAGGTCTGTCCATCAAGCGTGTGAACCTTCATGAATTCATTCAGATTCATCATCTCAATGTTCTGATGAAGTTTTTCATCCAATCCCTTGAAGTCAACTGTGGATTAAAAAGATATTATGAAGAATATCAAGCCACAGCCTTTTCATCCTATTGCCATCCGGAAAGAGGCACAGAAGCATCCACTACCATATATATATACGGTAATGGACGCTCACACCAGCTGCGATGCCTGTCAACATGAAGATCTAACCAACGAGTACTTAGTACTCATTACTACATTATGACGTGTGTACTCATGTAATAATGCAGTCATTACTACATTATTACTTATTAGCACTTAGCACTCATAAGTCAGACCACACTCATCTTCGATCTCTGCCTTGATTTTCTAACATTTACAGTTTGCTGCTTGCTGGACAGAACCAGAAACAGAGCCATCTCTCTCTAGCCTAGTGACATTTTGCATAATTTTTTGTGTTTTTTGTTGCAAGGGCTGATTATATTTTTCTGAATCAGTAGCTAGTGAATGTTCAGTGTATGCAAACAAATAAAATTATGTAAGAAATAACAATATAGCTCATATTAATAAAGTATAACATAACATAACATATTTATCCTAATACCATGTTTCTAAAAAGATTTGAACTTTATACTTCGCTTTCAGTGCCGCAGCGTTACCTACCTCTGACATGTTGTGGAAGCTCCTGGCAGATTTGGAGAAGATCCTTGACCATCTCCTTCTCTCTATAGACAGCTTCTACTTCATCATTTCTTAGTCTCAGTAATCTTCTCATGGTTCTGTCATCTTTGCAACGACCATCATCACAGAGGCCGTCTAGAAGAACATAAACATAGATGAACACAGTAGAATAATAACTGTGAAGCTCAACAAATTATCATGAATGTTGTAGGAAAGAGTTAATGTTTATATCAAGTGTTTAGGAAGTAGTTTTAATGCCAATCAAAACGGCTCATTCTAAGTTAACGATTATTATTTCCAGGTGATAATATGAATATGCATATGAATATTATATTCAATTTTTGGCAATAGATCCTCCTAAATGTTACACACTGGACCTTTAAATGAAGCCATCTAAAAGGTCCAGACGAATTATCAAAGTAACAAATAAATTGATTCTGTCCACAGAAACAGTGGATAGTTTTTAATCTGAAACAGGTACAGTGTTGTTCAGTTAGAATTTTTTTTTATTTGTTTTATATCTGTGACATATTCCACAGATATAGACATTGAAACTGTAGTGAAAGGTGTATATATAACGTCAATATGACTATAAACAGATAATTCTCACTGTTTTTGATTGGAGATTGGATAATGTAACATCCTGTTCCATGGTGAAATGTTAATTTTCTGCACCACACTCACAAATCAGAGACCTGCACGAGACCTGACCCGACCCACTATGATGTCCCAGCATACAAACTTTAGAGCGGTTTGGCAGTCTGAGAGTTGTGTTATTGTTAAAGTTTCTGTTAACTGGCACTGCATCTGAAAAAACAACACATTTTTGCTCTCACCCACTGCCCGCCTGCATTTAATTTATTTCTACCTGCGAATTTATATAAATATATTTTTAACTTGTTATGCAACCTTTTTGCAAGTTACAATAGCACAACTATTAATTGTGATAGTGTTTAGATTATACTTCCCAAGGTTGAATTTGCTCCGATCAATACTGTGGGAGGAGTTTGTTAAAGTACAGCGAGTGCAATTCGTCAAAAATGGCCACTAAATATAAAATGGGCAACTTCCTGTTGGGTTTGGGGTATGCATCCAAAAGACCTTTTGGTACGTCTGCACAAGATACATATAGGATATATATATATAAGATATACCTACTCACCTATCTTCAGCAAGTCAACAAATTCTCGTTTTCTCTGGAGTATTTGGTTTAAAGTTTTATTTTGGATCTCTCCACTGAGGAACTTCTCTGTCACAGATTTGAATGCTGAACTCGCCAAAGTCAGCCTGATTTGTGCTTCATCTGACAATTTGTCGATCAGTCTTCCTCTTGCACCTGGAAAACAAGTGTGAAAACATAAACTACAAAACATTTTACTATGGAACAAAAAGGAGCAGCAACAGTGAGCTGTTAGATGAAGAGCTACAGGTGACAGGTTTCCAGAAATAATTTTTTAAAGAAAATTTTAACCATCGCTCTTCAATAAGCTGCCTCCTTGGTGGAGGTCTGAGAGCATTTTCTGTAAGTATCATTATGGATTAATTACCATGTAAGAGAGGGAAAAAAAAGACATCTTGATTACACAGTCACAATCACATTTTAAGTTTTTTTTCTTTATTTTCTTTTTTTATTGTCCAGCCCCCCACAGTGTCTGAAAAACATCTGGCTCTTGGATAAATGTAGTTGAACTCAACATTAATAAAGAGCAGATTCCCAGTCATTCTTGTAACATGTGTTACATTTAAGTATTTACCTGTCAATTGGAAGACAGTTTTGGCCATGGGCCAATTCACAAGGTACTCAAAAATCAAGTCCTGGCCTTCAACATAATCTCCATTTGCATCTGTGGGCCATGTCTTCAGTATAACAACAGACATCAGGTTCCCAAATTTTGTGATGTCATGTTTCTCCAATAGATTTGAAACAGCTCTGCCAGATTTGTCCTAAAGAAAAAACAATCATATGAAAAATAAAAACATGCACAGAATTTCACCTCCAGACATGTTTTAAAGGATGTAAAAATACTTTTATGATTAATATTTTGCTTAACATGGTTTTCCCACATAAAATGAAAATGAGCTGGAAACATTTACTCTCTCTCCCTCATTGAGAAAATTGAGGAATTTAAAGGTGTCAGTGATGGTGTGGTGATGGTTTACCTGTTTATTTGTATGGGAATTTTAAGAATTCGGCTTGCATTGGAAGTCAGTAATAAGTTCCTAGGTTTTGGCTCAATTAAGCAGTAGGTCATTGTTAATATCTGCAACGATGTTGCAGTGTGTTCACTAAGTTATTACATTTTAGGTGATTGTGACTGTGTAATACTACTGTATGAGCTAGCTAGCATAATCAATTAAGTTGCATTTAATCATCACGGACCAGTTATATTAGTGAAAACTGAATAAATATGAATTCTAAAGTTAAAGTTTGCCACTACTGATGGAGCAGCTGATAACAGAGTTCTTAGGACAGTTTGCATTCAAATGCTTACATATTATAGGGCGACTCAAGGGTCCACTTTATATTAAAAAACAGAAAACTCTTACCATGGTCATAGCATTTACAATTATATTAAAAGGTATTATAAAAATTTTTAAGACATGTGTTAACTGGTTATTCACCACTTTTCAAGATATTACCTGACAAATAACTGCAATCGCCTCCAATGCACATTTCTCCATTGCGCTGCATAGCAGTGGACTTGTCTTGCTCATTTCTTCCATTTTGCTAGAGTATATTCCGATCTGATCCACTGGCTGTTCCTAGCACACAAGCACACATCCTTAGTTTTGTTTCTTGAGTGCACATGTAAAGCCTGTTAACACAAACTCAAATCCAGTCTTACTCGTTTTAGTTTTCCTTCAAAATCCTCCATGAAGGCGATTCTCCAGGATGAAGTGTGTTCCTCATGACTGAAGGACAGTGAGAGTAACTTCTCCCACACCTAAAAAGAGAGTCAAATGAATTGAAATGGGTCAGCTACATTAGAATTTAATAACTGCATACAACATCAAATGGCCATCGTACGTGTGGAAGAAAAAGAAAAACATCATTCTAAAATCATATCAGAAAACAACATACACATTACTGCCATTAATTTCTGCTTACCTTAATTTCATGGGGTACAGAGAACTCGGTACGATTCCAGTCATTAAGCAGTTTGTTTCTGAAGGTTTTTCTCCGCCATTCCCTCACTGTTTGTAATACATCCCCGATTGACTCTTCGTGAATTCTCTCTCTTGACTGGAACAGCAGTTATAAGTTACTATGGATATCTGTATTTTTTTTAAAACTTTTAGCTACAACAAACTAGCATTTAGTAATGTTTAGTAAAAGAAAAACAACAATTTATATTTTTTCTCTATACAAGACAGACCAAAAGAAAAAAAATACAGTTGTTGATGTAAACTGTATTTCAAGCCTTGACTATGACTTGGTGTGGAGGCATAAAAGTGTGTCTAACAGACTGACAGATGAGTCTCACCTGGGACTTAGTGTGATCGTAGGCCTTGGCAATCAGACAGACGAGATCAAGGAAGGAAATAGGAACACCACAGCAGTCTGGATCTGTTATTTGACGGCAGATAGAACCAAGAAGCCTCGCTGCAGTTATCAGGCAAACCTCTCCATATTTGTCATCAAATCTGTGGGAAAGAATCTTTTGATTATTGTTGTGTATGCATAAAGATTGCTAACAATAAAGATATCAAAATTCAAAGACATTATAGCATACATATTGTATTACAGTAACAGGTACAGTTATTTATTTTACCTTTTATGCCATTGTCTTTCTTTCATTATAAGTTGAGATGCCAACTCTTTCAAAGCCTGTCATCAGAACAACATAACACACATAATTTGAAGACATACAGTTAGTGATGAGGAAATTCATTTAAGTAGCATTTATATAAACCTGCAATAACAGTTTTTTTTTCTAATCTTAAGTTCTGTACACAACACTGACACATCTCTCACCTTCCAAACTGATACTGCAAACCTGTTAGCAAGCATTTGTTTATTTACACATCCAACAGTTATGGAGCAACATTATCACTCAATTGGAGCCTTATATCTGGCCACCTGATGAATATAAGACCAATGCTCTTTTTCAAATCTTTTTTTGGTCCGTAGCAACTGCAATATCTGTCTCTTTAGCTACATGCTCTGCTATGTTTACCAGCTAGTTGCTAACTGTGTCTGTCTGTAGTCTGGTGCTGAGCAGTGGGTTTTTAAAGTTTTTGCACTGAAACTGACTGCCCGTTTGAGTAGTAATAGTGAAACAAAACAGTTGAAAAAATTATGGACAAGACAGCTAACAATGAGCTTAAACTAATTGTAAAGCTCGGTGAAGTCGACGGGAGCTACAGATTCAGGTAATCATTCTCTATATGGTCATCACTATGAGCAACCTCTTTCACACTGTCATGTTGTTCTCACTTTATTGTTTGAAACATTGTTTCAATAAAAATAGAATATAATAGCCACTTTAAGGATACATACCTTGTAGTTGGTTATTCCAGATTTAATACTGAACTGTATGTAATGAAGAATGTCTAGAAGCTCCTCTTGCACACTGAATATGGACGTGAAGCTCACTAGATCTTCTACACGCAGGAGAGACATCCAAGAGTGCACAAGAAGACGATCGATCTCTGCCAGGTAAGCATGTTCTCTCATGATCAAGATCACACTCCTAATTTAAAATCAGAATTGTTTATGGTGACAAATGATGGTGAGGTAAAAATAACTATAACAAAAACAAAAGACCCAGAGCAGAGACTTCCTGAAGTTGGTTGGACATGGTTGTCTGGCAACCTCATGGTGACAATGTTTTTCCTAAAATGTTAATGATTTAATTTAAAATACTAGGATAAAATAGTGACCACTGTTTTGGATTTTCTGGATATTTGAGCAAAATACTGTAACAGTTGGTTCTTATTGTTATTTCGAGCCACTGATATGCAAAACTGTTTTTGAGGCGTTTTCAGAAAGTTGTAATTATAAGTCTTTACAGGAGAAAAATGCTTCCATACCCTGTATTACCGTCCCTGTAAACATGTGCTCCGTTGCTCCCCTTCAAGCCTGTCCAGGAGTCAAACTGTGGATTCAAGACAGGTGGAACTGGCTGGAATGGCTTACTTTCTCCTCTCAGTAGGTGAACCAGAGGGATGACCAAGACCCACTTCTCAATATGACGTTGTCTAGCATTGTTGCACATCATCTCAACAGCATCTGCAACGCTATACCAGTGGGGAAGTCAGTGTTTAGTTTCATTATATTTACAGTGGCAAAAATATATCATTGAAATTATATCATATTATAGATCCTTAGTTTCTACTCTGTACTATGTTGTTGGAAGATGTAGTTGATTGTGTTCATATCTCAATCTGATTGTTATCTTATTTTAAACTCAAACCACACATTACTTACCTGTTTTTATCTGATAAAGGGCTTGCAAATGTTTTCCAGAAAGAGAGGAAATGGTGTTGTGGTTTCTTAGGCAGGCAAAGAAGATCACATAAACTAGAAAGTTGATCTCTCATGTCATCTTTCAGATATTTGTTGTAAATGAGCAAACTGACAAGTCCTGCATGCAGAGGTGGTAAGAGAGTTTCCTTCTGCTTTGTGGGCTTGATGTTGTCCTCCAGAGCACATCTGAGCAGCTTTTCCACCTAGAAAAAGTAAAGGAAAAAGGTAACAATCAACTTCTAATACTAATATCATTTCAATTTGTTTGTTTTTAGGGGACCATGACAAGGTTATAGAATAAAATATTTGATATTTACCTGTTCACTACCGTAGGGTAATCCCCACGACCTTTCCCTGCCATCATGGAGTACAGGATAGCTGTATGTATAGAAGAACTGTTGTAGCAGGAAAAAGAAGTTGTCCACATTTGGTTCATTCCCAAGATGTAAGAAGGTCAAAGATGATATCCAGCATCACTCTGCCAGCTAGGTCTCTCCCTTTCATTACAACTTCTTTGGTTGAAAACTCTCCGTACCAGATATTCTTCTTCACCTCCAGATAAATCACATCATCATACTGGTGCCACTCTCCTTGAAAGTCCAAGAGTACAAAATAAACAGGGATAATTTATGTTATATATTAATTTTAATAACATCCAAACATACACAGGTATATACAGCAGCCTTTATAACCATAATAACACTCACTGCTAATACTTCACTTTCATTCCAGTGCTCCTTAATACTGAAGCGCCCTTCTTCATGCCAGCCTTGTCTTTATGTGATGAATATACACCGATCAGCCATAACATTATGACCACATGGGCACCCTGGTGGTCATCATGTTAAGCAGCCACATACGCAACAAACTGTGATGAACTGTGTGTTCTGACACCTTTCTATCAAAACCAGTATTAACTTTTTTCAGCAATTTGAGATACAGTAGCTCATCTGTCTGATTAGACCCCACAGGCCAGCCTTCGCTCCCCACGTTCATCAGTGAGCCTTGGACGTCCATGACTCTGTCTTTGGTTCACCTCTTTTCCTTCCTTGGACCACTTTAGATAGGTACTGACCACTTCAGACCGGGAACACCCCACAAGAGCTGCAGTTTGGAGAAACTCAGTTGTCTAGCCATCACAGTTTGGCCCTTGTCAAAGTCACTCAAATCTTCACACTGCCCATTTTTCCTGCTTCTAACACATCAACTTTGAGGACCAAATGTTCACTTGCTGCCTGATATATCCCACCCACTGGCAGCTGCCATGATAACAAGATAATCAGTGTTATTCACTTCACCTGTCAGTGTCAATAATGTTATGGCTGATTGGTGTATATAAATATTAACCAAATCCTGTCCTACAATAATAATAATAATAATAATAATAATAATAATAATTATAATTATAATTATAATTATAATTATAATAATTTCCTTGACAGTGTCAACAAACAAATTCTATATATTCTAAAATACTATAAATCAAATAATCCAGTAAAATATTTTACATACAATACATATGTTAAAACAGCCCATCTGACAACCTACATCTCACTTTCAAACATTGCCCAAACATCTTACTGTTTGGAGAAGGTGTCCTAGATCTTAGCATCTGTTGTCCCCCTTGGTTCCCTAAAATAAACTTGCTGTCTTCTCTTGTGGACAAAGTATGTAATTGAGTTTCTAGATTACCTCAAATTTATCTTTTGAGGAATTTCTATACTGCCATTTCTTGTTAATTCAAAATGTATGCCAATACCAATGTATCAACAATAAACTAATACTGGCTCATATCTGCATGGCTGATTTATTAGTTAGGCTTTAGTCTGTAAACACGAATACAAGTTTCTGTTGAGAGAAGTGAATCTGAATTACCTTCATGTGTTAAAAATTCCTCTTTGATTTTCAGGCACCTGTTGACATATTGATTTCCATCTTTCTGGTAGATGGTCTCATACATGCCCTGATAGCCATTTTCACTTTGCTTGAAAATGACGTATTTGTAGGGTATGCTCTCATCAATGATGTTCTTGGGAATCTGAACTTGTCCTTCAACAAGATATCTTTTGTCCCCTAGTGGCCTGTGAAACACAGTTCACAGTTATTATTAGTGATGAGACAGGCTAAGATGTGACAAATGATTCATTTCAAAGCAAACAATCAACTAAATAATTGTTACTCTTCTGCTAGGGGTGAAGAAAGTCCATAATCACAGTCTGATTTCATTATTTCATTGGGTTTTTTTTGAAGAGTTGAAAAAACTAATATTTTGGTATAATTGTGAAGAACACGTTTTTCAAAAGAAGTCATACCTAGAGAACAACATTTCCAGGACATTTTGATCCCATGTTCCAAGCAACTTTTCAGACCTTAAGAAAATCCTATCCTTCCCTGGATCCAAGTCTTTGGCAGTGACAGCATGGAAGTACACTGTCATACATTCACTGATGAAAAAAATAAAGTACATACATGTTACCCCATATTTTATTTATACAATTAATAATAGTATATCAAAATATTTTTAGAATGATAGCAATACTTAGAAGTCTGATCTGAAATGTTTTCTCTCTTTTGGTTATGATTTAGGAACAGGTGACCTTCCGGGTCAACAGCAGATTAAAATTAAAATACATTTCTCGCCACTTACGTTTTTGGTGCTTGATGTTCAGTAGATGCTTTCAAAATATTTGCTGCCACAAGACCCATTTTTTCATCACTCTGACTGAGAGGGTAGGTGAGCACTGGTGACCTGGAGACATCTACATCCCCTTTGCCTGGCTGCCGTTCCTGTCTCTCTGTTAGGTTTGTGTTTGTTTTTTCATCAGATCTTGTGTCAACAGCCTGTGAGAAAAAATACAATTTAAAGAGTAAACAAAGCCCTGATCGGATTTTCAGGATATTACCATATCTATTGTATAATGAATACAGCTAAAACATCCTGAAGTCCTATGGGAATCTGAAGCTGAAGAATCAACTGTGTACTCTAGTTTTATCATACCTTTTGTATTGTCACATTTTACTTGTAAAACTCAAATGGACACAGAAATATTACCCACTTAGGCGGTTGGTAAAAAATACACAGTCAATGGCCTGTATCCATTATTGTAGCCAAAATATGGTTTTCATGTTAGACTGATGAAAATCATTGCAAAATTGTTGTCAATATACAATTATTATACATAATTACCATCACTATTATCATTTAGTACTTGTTATAAGCTAATGATTTAGGGTTTGAATCATAGCAAGGGTTAAAACTCAATGTATTTAACTGATAACTACCTCACTGCTTTTAGCTGTTTGCATTGTTACTGGACATGGATCAGCAGAATCATCAGATTTCTTGGGTTTGGGTTTTTTATTTGGGTCATCTGAGCTACAGCCTCTCTCATCTCTGGCTGCTTGGCCTTGTTTTCTGTCTGTTTGTTTAGGGAATGCATGCTGTTCAGCCTTGGTGTGATGTTCAATCTCCTTTGGCCTCCCAGAGAGATTTTGTGTCTCAGGATGGATTCTTTTATCTTTATCTTGTTCACTGGCAGACTGTTTTGCTACTGAATCACATTCTTGAGGGGTTTGCTCAGACGATTCAGGTGCAGTGGAGCTGGTTTCTTTAGTTAATGTTGGTGATGACGCAGAAGTAGACAGCTCAGAAGGAACGTCACTTGGCTTGTCAGCAGGAATCTGCACAGGGACTGTTCTCTGTACTAATATCTGATGGAGCTGGTTGTTCCTCTGTCAGTTTATCACTGGCAGGTGTAGGGGAGGGCTGTGTTGTGGAAACAGACATGTCTGATCCAGGGGACACCTCACTGCATGATTGAGAGTAACTTTCACAAGCTGTTGTAGATAGCCTCTCTTCCTGCTTGCAAGGGTCTGTGACTTGTGACTTTGTGGTAGTGACTGACTCGCCAACTGAGACTGTCTGACTGGGGGATGAGGTTGTGGCTCCATTTTCCAGTGTGGCTGGGCTGGCAGCGTTATGTGATGGGTCCTGTGGTTCAGCGTCATCTCTGGCTGGCTCTGGGTCATCACAAACCGGCTGCTGGCAGAAATTACCTCATTAGGTGAGTGGTTAATGTGTACAGCCAAGGAACAGTTCTTCAGAACACAATTTAATAAAATGAAAAAGATCCATGTTAAGGAAGACAATATGATAAAAATATTTTAATTACAATGGTAACGCCATCTTTTTTCAGTCATTCATAGCTATGTTAAACTAGAAAGTCTTAACAAGATAGATCCAACTATTAAACTGTGTCATGATGATAACTGATACATTTCAGTGACAGTGACCTCTTGTTATTTCAGCTACCATGGAGGAATTCATTTTACAGAAAAAACTTTCTTTGGCCTTCATACTGAAGGAAACTCAAACAGCTATTGATATTTTTCAAGAACAGGCCTGACATAAGCTGTGAAACACTGACAGAATATAATCAGTAGATAGAGCTTCTAGGTCTGAGAAATGAGGCCAATGCTTTAGTACCTTAAACCAGTATTCTTTCTAATGGCCAGCAGGAGGCAGCTCAGTCATTTACACAAAACAAGCCTTGTTGTATTCAATGTAAGGATAAAATGACCGTCCTTCTCACTTGATTTATTAGCTCAGTAAACAGTTTCCCTATGAGTTTATGGTCTCTTTTGCTAGTTTCAACAAACAGCATGATGTGAACATATGTAAACTATGGTTCCATTTAGAGTAAAATAGACAATAAAGCAGGGTATGCTTGTGATTGACAAGTCATTCTCAGTGAGTTTGTCCAGCACAACTCCAGAAACTGAGATCAAACAGTCAAACAAGGCAGTACTGATCAAATAAGAATCAAGATTTGGTTATTGCATTGCCTGTTTTTCTCGCCTAACATCCTTTTAGAAACATTAGTGTACTATTTATCTGTAACATAAGAAAGTGTTTGACTAAGTAAGCTGCCACACAACAGGGAGATAGACTTAATGCAAAACTAAGGCTTCCAAACAGTACTCTTGTGTTTAAATGACTGGTGACTAGAAAGCTTTGTTATTATAAGTTGTCTGTGTTCTGCTCTCTGTGCTCCAGTTTAGTTTCATTCCTATGGTTTTGTATTTTTACTAATAACCGAACAGACCTGCTGCTGCTGTTTCAAATTAAAAGCCTTCCACTATTGAACCAGTTGAGGGCTTTTATTATGATGGAGTTATTGGAAATGCAGTGTATTTGTCAGTCAAATCACAGAACTGAACTGTAGTTATGCAATTGTTAAATAACAAATAGTCAACACCACTATATGAACACATTAAGTGGTATTTCGTCACAAGCAAATACTTCCAGCACTGCTGAGGGCATCAGCCACACACACCGGCTTGCCCTGCAAATTTTTTTATGAGCTTGTTTACCGCCCTAGATAATGTTGGTGTAAACTAGAGGGCAGAAAATGTTTTAGTTTCAGCAAGAGTAAATAAAGGTTTTCTTGTGGGTATGAACAATGCTTTTCTTTTTCAACATTACAATACACTTTTAATGAGCATGAAAACGCTGTCAATACAATAACTGTTTCTTAGTCTTTTCACCTTTATCTGGGCAGTGTTTTCTTGTTCTTCTTTAATGCATTTTGGAGCTGGGTCTCCCTCCTCCTTTTGGTTCTTCTCCTTAGCAGCGACTGATGGTTGACCTGCTGCTGATGTGGCCACATCTGGGAAACAATTAATGTTATGTGACATTAATTAGATAACAGCATTGTTTTATGGTCGCACCATAAGATAAAAGATTAAAGATTTTTTTAAAAACATCACATATATGAAGTGATTTAATACTGATTCAATGTTGGTTTTTAATAAATCAGTAGATGAACTTGTGGATGTCCACAAAAATGATGCACTTAACAATGATCCCCCATGAATTTATATTTTACCCAATAACCATTAGAAATTAACAGAAAATTGTAAACTTACCTTGGGTTTCATTTTGAGTCAAGGCAGGTAACTTGCAGCCACAGTTAGGACAGAATTTATATGAACTTTCCACTTGATATCCACATTCAGGGCAAAACATGATGCATCTGTTTAGACAAATAACATTAGGAATTGAGTAACCTTTAGATATATTTGTTGAGCATTATAAGCAGAATTTTTGCTCCTTTTACAAATTACTTTAGCCATTTAATTATTTCCTTGAATAAAGGTCAGTAAGAATGTATAAGAAGAATAATAAGTATATGTATAAGAAGAATGTTCTGTTAGGAGTTTGTCTCACTTCCTTGTTCCTCTCTGTCTGTTTTTTATCTTTCAACAAGAACACAGCGCAGAGTGATCTGCTTGAAATTCAATAGGCAGCATTTAGTCAAGCCTAATCCTTAAATTAATTAATAACAAATAATTATTACAGTAAATTCTATTGTTATACAAAAATAGAATTAAAAAACAATCCTCTTAGTATCACTAACGTTGAATTTACAATTGCAGACACATTACATAAACATTCTAGTCAGCATAACCTAATGTTTTATTCATAAGATGAACTTTTACAGAAATCCTACCTTGTTTGCTCTGCTTCTTTACATGGTTCACACTGAAAATCTGAGCAAGTAACTGACGTTATATAGCTTACAGTGGGTTATCCATTTACTTTCATTTTCATTTACAGTAAAAAGGCGTGGCTGCTTTGACTTTTTCTACTTCACTTCACTTGACAAATACATTTCCCCAAAGAATTTCCCAGAATGCAAAGTCATGCATTTTTCCTAACTGAAACAACTGCTATAACTCTTCAATAGGCAGCGATATGGTCGGGACATATATAATGTGTACTGACAGGGAAGCCCTATTAACTGCATACCTTCTTACTGACAGTTATAACTTTACAACACAACAATTAAAAACCCATAACACCATGGCACACAACAATATACTGTATGACAGTTTGTTTTTTACTTGTGCAATATAACATCTTATAGAATTCTCATTGTTGAGAGTACATATGAGCCGAGACGGTGTTTAATTATGACTTGATGAACAATTTTTTTTGTCAAAATATAAGACAGTGATATGTGGTTAATTTGAATTGACTTTTTAATCAGTTTGTTAAAAAGGGGCTATTTTAAATATATTTCAGTGCTTAGATTTTTTCATTCAATCTGTCTTATCTTTTCAGACCCTGCCATTCCCAGCCTCTCCAGCAGCTGTCACTAGAGAGCTTTCCTGCCTCAGCCATCACTTAAACATCCTCCTTCCCCAGCTGTTCCTCATTCTCTAGCGCAGTCCAGTATAAGCCTTGAGTCAATACCTTTCCATGCCAGTTTATCTATATCGCTTACCAGTCATAGTGTACCAACCATTAGTCTGTCCTGTCTGCTCCTCTCCTTCCTAATGACCACTGCCCAACCCATAGTCCTGTTGTTACTGTGTTTGGACTGATCTATTGTTGCAGAGTAAAAAACGTCCTCCATTAATGAATCCTCCATTATCTGCATCTAGGCTCCAATGCAATGTTTTTATGGTCCCTGTATTGTTTGTGTCTCAAGCTCTACTACGAGGACGCACAAGGACACACACACACGTGGATGATGCAATATACATTGTTGCTGACTGCAGACTTTAGGAAGGCACTTTGCATTTTGTCTTGTAAAACTCTACTTTACTCTTAAGACTATTAACTTCAATATTTATGCATGTAACTACATTGATTGGCATTGCACTACAGTGCTTCAGTGCAGCACTGTTGCTGAGCAGAACCACTGTAGGTATTGATGGAGTACTGCAGCTGTGGTCCTGAATTACTGCTTTTGCTACAAGAGGAACAGCAGACAAGGAGGAAGTGTTGTACCAGTCTGAGATGTATTTGCATTACCAGATTGCATGATGATATTTACCACTAAATGCCAACAAGATGAGACAACAATTCTGGATTTGAAGGCTTATTTATGATTTAGGACGGGTTGTAAAAGGTGACTGGGAGAGACAGAACAGGACAACTGGAAGAAAAACTGCAACCAAGGAGAAGACTAGAGGGCAGAATAACCTTTGAAATTAATTAAATTCAGGACTAGCGCTCAGCCAAAGCAGTTGAATTGCCAAAAGGTCTATTTTAATGGCACTGACATGAAACAGCAGGATGTGTTGAGTTCATGTGGGGAATATTTTCCTCCCAAAATGCATGCATGCATAATATCCAAGATGGCATTTGTGAGGGAGGAAAATAACTCTATTTTCCACCGCCTCTGAAGTCAGTGCTCAAGTAGCGTGCTAAATCATATCATCTCAATGCTAGGCTGAATTCTTGACCGTGCTAACAGGCTTGGACTGTGTGTGTGTGTGTGTGTGTGTGTGTGTGTGTGTGTGTGTGTGTGTGTGTGTGTGTGTGTGTGTGTGTGTGTGTGTTTGTGTGTGTTGGGGGGTGTGGGTGCTAATCTCAGTGCTACTGAGTCCTCCCCCGCTTATTTACCACCCACACACCTCTTCCATACACAGACACACACACCACTGCAGTCGCCAGCCAATCACTACCTCTCTTCCTTTCAACTGCATTCACCTGCGTCACTCGGGCATGTGTTGCCATGGTGATCACTGATGCTCCCCCCACACTTTGTCTCTCTGCCTCTTCCAGTATGAGGATGAAGCCGACTTGTGGCCGATGATGCAGGCAGGCTGCAGACGTCACTACTTCCCTCGGGAAGAAGGCCTATTTTTACCAGTGGGCACAAAGTATACCAAGCTGCCCAGCATATTTATGGAACCGCATCTAATCCCAGCCTGCCAGGAAAACATCTCCCCCCACGCTCTGCATCTCTCTCTCTCTCTTTCTTCATTCATCTCACAGAAATGCTGTTCCTTCCCAGGCATATTTTCATCTCGTGAATTGAGACGACAGCAACTTGTGAAGGTTTTGAAAAATCTTTCAGTTTTAGTGTCTGTATTATTTTATCTGTGATACTTTACTTATCAACAAATACTGATGCCACACACATACTCACCCTCCACAGGGAGGTCAGAGGTCACAGTTACAATCACCCAAGGAGCACCTGAACCAGAGCTGGCAGTGATTTGCTGTTGCCTGTTGAGCCAGGGACAGATAACATCGCCCACAGGTTTCTAACTGGACAGGAAATAGTGTCAGCTGTTGGAGGCAGAACTGCAATAGTGAGGTAAAGAAAAAAAAGAAAGCTGGGTGCACTATTAAACATGTATAAAGCTACCACACACTACTACAAATCAAGAATGTGCTGGATGCAATGGAGACAGGTGTGCTGATGATTGGCCTTCTTTCCAAGGTGGACTGATATTGAGGGGCGAATTCATAAAGAATGAATTAACTTGAAACTCACTTGAAACCCTTCTCAAGGTCCATTTATGCAAAACATACTGGTGATTATAATCTTTTTCAGCTTAGTGAGGTTTGCCCTTGTTCTGAATCTCTTGAATGTTCATCTGTGGTACCAGTAATATTTGTACTCAAGGTGTACTAAAGTATCATGGTTACGCAGCATTTGAGTCAAAAATGACCAATTATATCTAAAAATGTTTGACTTGAAAGGGAATATATTGTAATTCTAATTATTCTGATTATATATTAACTCAGCCTGCTCTTTTATTTGTTTCTATCTGTGGAATATCTCTCGTTTTTCTATGACTCACTCTTTATTTTGTTTTTTGTCTTATTTGTGCATCTTTTTGGCCTGATATGGCAACTGAAGCAGGTGTGTACAAATACTCAGGGCTTAAAATGGATCAGCTCCATCTCCTTCAATATCATCATATCATATTGCACTTGCAGTCAAAGTCATCATAAAAAACTTAAAATACCAAAACCCTGGCACCCTGGTGGCTCACCTGGTGGAGCTGGTGTCTCATATGTCGGGTCTGGGTCCATGCTGCAGCAGCCATCGGTTCGACTCCGTCCTGTCACCCTCTACCTCCTTATACCTAACTTATCAAATAAAGGCATAACAAAGTACTCATCATGCAGAATGGCCCATTTCAGACGTACATAGTACATGATCCTTTTTAGTGTTGCTGCTAGTAAAAATGGGTCAGTGTGTGAATTTTCCCCCGTGGGACCAATGAAGTATTAATACGTAATAAAAGTTTGTTTGTGTATTTTGTATTATTACTGTGAATCTGCAGAGTAACTACTGACTAAAGTTATAAGATTAATGTAAAGGTAGTTGTTTTACTGTTAGCTAAGTAAAAATAACAATACTCTGAACAATAAAGTAGCACTAAATGTAAATAAATGGAAGTACTTCAAACTTGTAGCGTTATTTAAGTACAGTACTTGAGAAGTAAAATGTACTCAGTGGTTAACTGGTTATTTTCCACTAACTAGCCTTTTAGATATCCAACGTTATAGCCAAGTGAGCAAGTTAGCTATAGTAAACAGGCTGATAGGTAGCCAGCAAGTTAGTAACACTTAGAACTGCTGAGCAAAAACAGTAAATACCCGTCAGATAAAATGTCTTTTGGATTCATGGTGGTAAACTTGTGTTAACCAGTTTTATGGTTATTCCTCCATACGGCTGCCCTGAGTGTTGCCTCCTGGTGTGTGTGTGTGTGTGTGTGTGGTTATGAATATAAAAACAAATCTCTTCCCCATTTGAACAGGACACAGACTAAAACATCACAATATAAACTCATTGGGAAATCTTTTATAAAAGTAAAAGAAGCAGAATGTATAAAAAAATATGTTTGTTTTATGTGAAAGGATGTGAAATATTGCACTGAAAAGAAGCTTTTGTCCATTACTTGGCTTAGTTTAACTCTAAATTATGTAAAATGTGGTAACTTTACATGTTTTTGAAAAACAACCTTTTTCAATAAAGTTTTAAGTTACTTGTATTTTGAGTTATTCTTGCTTAATTAAAACAACCTAACTGCACTTCGATTGATATTACCTGGAATGCACAATAAAAATAACATGATTAATTAATTATTATTATTAATTAATAAACTAAACTAATAATAAACTCAAATACGTTGTTACAAGTAGTCCAACATTTTAATTTTTAGTACCAAAAGTAAAAGTGCTCATTAGGCAGAATTTCAGAATAATGTTTGTTATATTACTATGATTATAATTATTGATACATTAATGTGTAAATCACTTTATTGTTGCAGCTGATAAAGGTGGAGCTAATATATACTGCTGGGTAGCTTTTAAATTTCCCCAGGGAGCAATATAGTTTTATCTTATGCATTTAAGTGCAATAGTAGACAAAACAATATTAGGAGTCCAGTAGAAGCGAATGAAGGTCTGTGCTTATTGGACAGTCCTCCTTTTTCCCTTTTTACAAATAAGAAAACAAGGTTTAAATTAAACATTTATAAGGACACAGATATAATAAGACATAATCATACAGTATACCCTAAAAACTAAAAACCCGTTGCTTGAATTTAGTTTAGTTCTGTCTGTGTTCAGGAGATTTTCTGAATATGCAGTACTTGTTCAGGGGATGTTTGAGCTATATTTATATAAACCCAGAACAATAGTGGTATACGATCAATCCTAGGGGCACATTATTACACTGCGGGATACTGGAAGTGATGTTTTGAGTGTGTACACACTACACTGATGAGTACACTGTAATATTTACAAACATCCCCACATTACATGTGATAGAGTAAACCAAGCATCTGCATACAAATACCAG